TCAGGAGTTTACATTCCATCCGGAGAAGCATTATCAGCATTATTTGGAGCATTTTATGGCCTTTTGTGGAGCATTACTGAGAGCATTATACCCCATATTACCGAGCATTACCCGCCAACACCTAGTGCTGGTTCACAGCAGGAAGTGAGGGTGTAGATCTATGAGTTTGCTGTCGCTGCACTTCTATTTCAGCTCTTTTTTGGTGGTTTTGCACAAGAACTCTCCAATTTTAAGTTGCGATGTTAGCAACTTTTGAGCCTTTTCTGATAATATGGATGCGATTTCAGCAACTTGCACTTGTTTTGGCACGGTTGCGAAAAGCATAAGTTGCGAAAAATTATGGCATCTTCGGGAAAGGGCTATTGTAGGGACAATGTACAGTCATGTAATTTCACAAGTTTTCGTTGTTCCTCCATTTTCCGTACTTTCGGTGCATCTGTTTCACACCTATAATTTCAATAACGGAACAAACACTAACACATAAGTCATAATCCAATAGGGAATTGCTTCTCCGTACCTAAAATGTCCGACCTAACATGGCCTTTTGTTCTCATACCGAAAATTTCGACCACCCACATGAAGTATTTCTGAAACTAGTGTAATGTGGGTGAGTAGGCTATGGCTGTAGACGTGGTAGATGTAGTCACTAAGTTAGTTAGGTGACGTCGTCATATTTTAGGAGGACTTTTGGCCCACTTCGAACCAAGCATAAGACATTTCCATGATAATAATAATTATTCCCGTAGCTATTGTGGTGTACCCGTGTACATCGTACATATTTGCACTCTCATGTTTCTTATTATGCTACTGCATCTCCTTGCATGGACGTGCGTACAACCTTACAGCATACTACTCATACTATGCATGCATGTGTGTACTCCGTGCCCATAATCGACAGTGCATGTCTCTTGTTGCTGGTCAGTCTTTCCTTGGTAGTTTCCTGACGAGTCGTCCTCTCTGTCCTTCGTTGCATTATTCTATTTCAATATAACTAATCATCACATAGACTTGATGATACCACATGGCGCAGTGAACTTGTTTTAGTAGCAGTTTCCATTAGTCTTTCTCAGTCCTGGGTCTTGCTAGTACTTGTACCTCTGGCGTTTCGTCTCTCAAATATAGTGAAATAATTATTTGAAATTTCCGTTTCGGCATGGCGGAATCAGACACACCAGTACTCAGCCCTGACATTGCTGCCCTCACCCAGCTCATGAGACAGCAGATGGAGACCGCCGCCACCCGCGAGCACCACCTGACACAGCTCGTGGAGCATTTATGTGAGATAAACAGCTCCGATTTTTCGCTTGTTTATCTCAGAAGGGGCGTGTGGTGTACCCGTGTACATCGTACATATTTGCACTCTCATGTTTCTTATTATGCTACTGCATCTCCTTGCATGGACGTGCGTACAACCTTACAGCATACTACTCATACTATGCATGCATGTGTGTACTCCGTGCCCATAATCGACAGTGCATGTCTCTTGTTGCTGGTCAGTCTTTCCTTGGTAGTTTCCTGACGAGTCGTCCTCTCTGTCCTTCGTTGCATTATTCTATTTCAATATAACTAATCATCACATAGACTTGATGATACCACAGCTATGCAGAAGACGTTACTTCAGTAACGTCTGGCGCTAGCCAGGGTCCACACAGCTTTAATTTGGTATTTGTTTGTTTGTGTGTTTGTTTGTTTGTTTGTTTGTGTCACGCCTGGCGCTATCCCGTATCTGTCCCGTATCTGTGACTACAAAGGCTCTACAAGATTGTACATAACAGCTGTCCACAATATTTGCGGGCTCCTGTATCTGTCCCGTACCGTACCAATATTCGTCATATTATGTATACGACTCCCTGATGTAGAGGGAGATTTGGAATGAAATAGGGAGACGAGGAGGAAATTAAATTAGAATAGACGCCGAATAGGTGATAGGATGCGTCAGCATAAACAGCGTCAGCATAAACATACATGTACTTTGGAAGAGAGATCGCGTCATCTCCAAAATAAGCGTGAACGAGCGATTCAGCGCCGGTCACAGGAAACGTCGGAAGAGAGATCCCGTCGACTCCAGAACGCCCGTAATCGGCAGAGTCCGCCGGTCCCAGGCAACGTCAGGACAGACATCCCGTTGAGTCCAGAACGCCCGTGATCGGCAGAGTCTAAGCCGGTCCCAGGAAACGTCAGGACAGACATCCTGTCGAGTCCAGAACGCCCGTGATCGGCAGAGTCAGCGCCGGTCCCATTGAACGTCAGGACAGACATCCCGTCGACGCGCAGAAAAACTAAATCTGCAGCCTCTTTTGCTGTCGGACAGGATACGTATTATAGGAGACTGTAAAGTTATGTAATGTCCAAATTTCCACGTGAGCAGCAGGTCACTCGCGTTGATTTTTCGACGTGCGAGCCAAATAACGCGAGCTGAACTTTCGCGTCGCAGACATCCCGTCGACGCGCAGAAAAACTAAATCTGCAGACTCTTTTGCCGTCGGACAGGATACTTATTTTAGGAGACTGCTAAGTTATGTAATGTGCTCCACAGGCAACCATGCATTCGGCGTCGTCATTGGCTCAACAGGTCAATGTACATGTATTACTACAAAAAGGCCAGAAAATCCGATTATTATTATTATACGCATTCCCGCGTTGAAGTGTAGCAGCAGTATGCTGCGTCCACAGCTTCGCTTATGCAGAATGGCTTGGGTGAGAGGAGAGGGGAGAGAAAGCAACAAGGCAACCAACATCTATGAAATTGGTCACAATAACATGAAGAGAACCAACCTACATACATGTACGCATGATTGCACAAGAATGGAGACGACCAAAATATAATGGCTATAATCATTGTGCCACAAAACCGGTACACAGGAGATCTGACGACAATGTAACGAAACATAAAACTCAGTTACTCAATACAGGTTCCACTAAATTACAAGAGAACAACGCTACAACGTTAGAATTGCCGCTAAATTATCGCAAGTGTAGAGAACGAGTCCAATACAAATGAAAACCATGAACAGACTGTCCCGAAGTTATTTTGGGAACAAATTGTACTACATGACTGTACTTGCTGATACTGACGCTGACGGAACACGAATTTGAGTTGAATACTCACGAAGTCTTGTACATGCACATCATTATGCGCCGGTGTTGTGGAGTAAGCAGGTGCGTCAGTCACCAATCCAGCTTCAGCTCCACGCTCGCTTCAGCAGAATGTTGCCCGCGTTTGCTTTGCCTCCACACGGATAGACGACCAGCGCAGAGTCCCGCAGCTCCGTGGCCGTAAGGTCTTGATATTCGCCGTTAGCGCCGTCAAGTCTCAGTCCACCTCTCACACCAAGCCGCCCTATAAAAATCTTTCTCTCTCCATTGGAGTGCTCCCCAGTTGCGCGAGGAGACTAGAGAAATTCCTCCGGTGAGCGAGGAAGAAGAGCGGAGTTACCCAACTCAACCTAACAAGAAAATCCGATTACTGTATTAAAATCAACTAATTTTCGCTGGCGATTTAATTTCGCTGACTTCGCCGCTTGGTACCAACCGGCCAAAGTAAATCACAGGCCAATGTTTGTCATATAGGAAATTGATGCATTATTGAGCAATGGATGCATGTGAGAGCAAAAATACCTATCGATTTCAAATTTGACGTGAAATTGCGCGTCACGTCGGAAATAACGTGCATCTTAACCTCCCTAATAGAGAGGTTTCTAATTTTCTCATCAGCCAAAATTTGTTGATTTACAGTGTAAGGAGATAAAAAGAAAAAAAGGAGCAAACCAAAAGAAGATAATTATTAGAGAAATAACAATCCGCAATAAATTCTGCAAATACTTTTGCCTCAGTTCTTATAACATGTACGATGAGCTAGGCAAAAAAGCATAAAAGCATAGCGTAGGGCCCTGAGCTTCCAAGCTCTCTCGTTAATTTTGTGCTAACAACGCATGTCAAGGAAGGCAAGGGTGTTCGCTGCACAAGTATTTCAACGTCCATGTGGGTGTGATTATTGTGAATGTTTGTGTAAAATTTGAATTTGCAGTCGGCATATTTCGTTAACTTAAAAAAAAAAACTTTTTAGACCTAGTCTGTAAGAAGTCGCAAATCAACAATGGTTTTGCAGGTGAAGAACCCCCAGGGCAAGACTTTCCTTCAGGTATTCGCACATGTTCCATTCCTTCACGTACACGTATTGTCATGTTTCATTGTCAACTGTATGTACTATCCTTCATTGCTAGTACAGTACTGTTACGCCACAAGCTCCAGAAAACACTCTGGCACACACCATTTGAGCTTCGGCGAGTATTCTAAAATGTTGGTGACTTCTTTTGATGTTCACTGTTTACGGATGGCGGTTCACCCTTGAAGTGTGTGTGTGTGTGTGTGTGTGTGTGTGTGTGTGTGTGTGTGTGTGTGTGTGTGTTGCTACATGTATGCTTACGAGATCGGTCCTAAGAATGATGGGCCGTCGCAACCCCAAACCGCATTTGTACATATTGTTGCATTCAAACTCTGTCTTGTGCCGACGTCTCCCCACCCCTAAGTTATCTCTGGAGGGTTGTCTGGCGTGCATCTCCTGATTCACACGGCATGCCACAGTAATTGCGAGACAGTATTTGGGTACACGATGATGGAAAGAGATGGAGAGGCGATGTGATGAAATAGATCAGGACTTTCCATACATTACAGTTGACATTATGTTAAAGTGTTGCAATACACACAAGCAAAAAGTGTAAAATACCCTGGATGAGGCGGGGTGGGAGGAGGAAAGAAAGAGAGAGAGAGAGAGAGAGAGAGAGAGAGAGAGAGAGAGAGAGAGAGTGAGAGAGAGAGAGTGAGAGAGAGAGATAGAGAGAGAGAGAGGGGGAGAAACAACAAGAGGAGATAGATAGATAGATAGATAGATAGATAGATAGATAGATAAATAGATATATAGATAGATAGATAGATAGATAGATAGATAGATAGAGAGAGAGAGAAAGAGAGAGATAGAGAAAGAGAAAGAAGGAGAGAGAAAGAGAGAGAGAAAGAGAGAGAGAGAGAGAGAGAGAGAGAGAGAGAGAGAGAGAGAGAGAGTGAGAGAGAACAAGAAGAGAGAGAATTCCCAAGTTTGTGCTACAACACAAGAGAGATTGTCAGCTTTGTCGCAACTCTGCGTGACTCTAAATTCGTGTTAGATCAGCTAAGGCCTGTTGTTACCAACACAGTGGAGCTTTCCAAGAGGACTAGATAAAGGAAAGAAAGGTCTCTTTCCTAATACTACATTGTATTGAGTTTGAGTTGCAATGCACGCAGGTCCGAGAGACAAAGGTAAGGTACTAGTGAAGCCCAGTCAACATAGCCGACCTGAGACCACGTGACGACAGGCTAATGAACACGAAGTTTGATTTGGGACAGCAGGAATGGACGAACTATACCGAAGCCATCGCCAGCAGGCGATGCCTTTAGCACATCATGGTGGTGAACTCAAGAAAGCTGCTTTGGTGCGAAGATGCCAATGACGCAGGCCAGGAAGATGCCGGTAACGGAAATGTGTAGTGTTGAACCAGTCGAGCCTGTATGACAAGAAATCAATGAAATGGCACTGATATATTATTTAACTTTACTTCTTGCAGTGGACACCATGTGTTACACGAAAATTCATCATTACAAGCCATCTCGTCCACCCTACATCTGTTCACTGCTAGCTGTCCCCGCTATCGAAACGTTTGGTCAAGCGATTATCATCGTTTTTCGTTCAAATAATTTAATTAACGACATCAATAGAGAAAGCATACGGAATGCATACAGTACCGTGGGGCGGGAAAAGCAAAAACCATCTGGCAGTGCGCCATTGGCAATGCTGATGTACATGTTGTTGCGCAAGGCTAGATTCAGCGTTGCTCTGCAAACTATTGTAAACTCAAGGTGGTATCGTAATCTGGCGTGTTTTAAAAGGCTTTTTGAAAGTCATAGAAGGTGATTTGTATTATTTGTATGTATTTATTTTTACAAGGATTCCCCAAACGCTGATCCCCTGTCGACGGTCGAGGGGGTTTCCTGTGATTGACTGCAAAATCGTGCAGTGGACTTGGACATGGGATAATGCACTGACATTAGCTAACATTCTATCTCTCACCTTCTTGGGTGAACTTGAACGGTTCCGAGGAAATCGTCAGTAGATTTTCCTCTGTGTCAGCAATGACCTGACGCTTCTTTCGGCTTGTGCTTGAGCATGTTCTCTCGCATGGCTGCCAGGATATGTAATAGAGCACATAAAGAAAATTAAAGTCTTCAAGGTACTGTGGAATCCTTTTGACAAACGCCAGGGATTCAGGACCTAAATGTACATGTACTTGTATCTTTTTTTTAAGATTTTTTCTCAAGGACGTTTCCAATCCAGATTTTCAACTCCAATATTCGGCAAATGGCAAGAATCAAAATCATTTAACTCCCAGCATTACCATCACTGACTGTGTACCACAGCAGTATCAAGTGGTTGCTTCATAGAGCTATGAAGCTTTGAAGCTATGAAGCCGAGACCTCTGGTCGGCTGAGCTTAATGGGCCCCACCACCACACTCCATTATTCACCCCACTGAGTGTCTGATATGTGGATTTTGTAGAAAAAAAGAGGAAAAAAGCATTAATTTCTGTCCAATCCTATGCATGTAACGGCATCTACATGTAAGAAGTTTGCCCAATGTTGAAGTCCTTTTTTAATTAAACCTCTCGGCCATCCGCATCAAACTCGTATCAACGAGTCAATTGAACTCACCCAATAACAGAGACATCTGTGATGCTATCCGGTTAATTGCAATCATGTCGAGGAAAGAGCTGTTCCTGGGATGTGAACCTACAATATAGGAATCTCTCGTCGTTCATGTGGGTGGTGAGCTACCCGTTCTAAGTGCACAATGGCGGCTTGTAGGGCACACTTACTCCGATCGGAAACCAAATAGAACAGGAAAACACACTTCCATACCTCGTTGTTATCCGGTGCGCAGATACGGTATGTGCAGTGCATATAGTACGTGTCGTCTGGCTCGGTGTCGAATGCAACTGCAAGGTACGACAATCGCTGATAGCGACTGACTCCATTCCGCCACTGCGTCGCACCAATCTCCACTGAATCGCGTACTGGACACCTGTGAGAAACAGAGTCGGGTTTTGGACGCAAAGCATTCACGTTATCTCTAAAGCAGGTTGTATAGTCGGTGGTAACGCGAACGTTCCAAATTTTCTTTTTTACGTACTGAAGTAGCTTACTAACGTAGCTATTGAGCAATGAGAATGCCGTTTTTGTTTGAGCTGCATGATGTTGAGCTGCATAGCACGACCAACACCGTTCCCACATACATGCACATGACAGAAAACAGACACGATGACGTGATTCGCACTTCTGTCGAATTCTGTTCGTGAATGTCGACGGGCTCCGAATTGCTGGTTGGATCGGATCGCGGAGTGCTGCTCGCCGGGCTAGCAATTACCCTGCTGCGTGACACCTTCATGATTCAACGGTAATAATCATATCAGTGCTCGACATCAGTCTTGACGTTTTCCTCAGTTGAGCATGACTCATAATATCTTCCTTCATCACAAGATTATGGAAGAAAAGGAGAAGGACAAAAATGTTACGAGTTATGACTAACTGTCCACCAACGCGTAACTACATTGAGATCATACTGTTAGCGAGTGCGACAAAAATGCCCAAAACTGACAAGGAGTACTGAGACACTCAACGACCTCACACCTAGCTCCAACACTTCTCTGAGGCGCAAACCAACAACCTTCCAACTTGGAAGGCTCGGGTGACGAAATGTCCAAGAGGGGAAGGAAGGCGCCACGAAGAAGAGCACGAGCTACGGCCCACATTCTTGTCTTCCTCCTTTTCTTCCACAATTAAATTGACTCACCATTCGAGTTCAACATCACAGGTTTCATCGTGAATGTAGCAGTGGGAATAAGCCTCTTATACGGGCAATCACAGAACACTTTCACTGACCTGACACAACAACTAAAGAAAAAAGAAAAACAAAATTGTGTTTATTTTGCCCGTCCAAGACGGCAAGAGGCTTGGGTATAATTTTTTTTAACTCACCCCTCCTCGATGAAGTCAAGGCGAGGTCTTTGAAAATACGCGCCCTTGTTCAACCAGCAGTTCAGTGGCCGAATACCGAGAGCGTGAGTTGTTAGCAGCTCCAATTCATAGATCACAGGTGTACCGACATCGAATGATCGCGGCGCCGATGACGGAGGCGGTGGTGCTCCAGGAAGTATTAGTTCCTGGGTCAATGACGACAGGCCGTGAGGGAATCAGATTACATCAATGGAGCAACAGTGAGTTAACCATTACTACAGGGTATTCAGAATAGATAGCATGTGCGCACCCAGGCCGGACATGAATATTTTCATGCAATACAAAGTCCAATATCGGTCCATCAGGTTTAAACACATTGGCGGCGTGACAATCAATATAATTTTAGAAAACGGATGAGTTGGTGCAGAGCACGTGAAAAGGATGCCGAGGGTCAAAATTTTTAAGGTTTCGAGTTATCAAGATTAGTTATCATGATCTTGTAGATATAGTATGGATATTTTGTAATTTTATTACTCTAATGACGGGTCAGGCCAGAAAATTTGGTGTATTATAACAAGAGTAGATAAACAAGAGTGTGCAACTCCGGATCTTTCCTGCATAATCTGCAGATACCAACGCCCACGGCGGAATTTTTTGTTGACGTCACCTTTTTTCAGAAGAACGCGCATTTTGCCGCAGAGCAGTGTGAGAGTACGTGCTGGGCACCGGCCTTGTAGTGTAAAGCCGGCCAAGAGCACGAGGGGAAACTTTCCGAAAGACTCGCAGCGCGTGCGTCGTCGAAAATATTACGTCAACAAAATATTCCGCCGTGGGCCTACCCATCCGCGAGTTGCACACTCTTGTTTATCTACTCTTGATTATAGAAGAATGTATTACATAGCAGACTCTGCGGAGGATGTTCAGGTTGGTTGTAACTCTGAGTTTCATGCCGTTAGAACGTCCTCCGCTGAGTCTGCTATGTACTGAGCTCTGTCTCTGACATTGAGCACTGTCTGCAGCTCGGGGATCAGCGGATTTGAAGAATGTATTTTATATAAATTTGATTTGAATCGCAGTTAGGACACCTTTGAGTTTGCAGTTTTAAAAGTTTTAATACCGATATGTGTAAGTATCTGCGTTGGAGGTTGCAGATGATAAGAACAACTTTTGTAGATTATGACACCGGTGCGTCCCGTCCGCCTGTGTGGATTCACAGGAAGTGTGAGTTACGAAGTCTGAAGAAAATGTTGAACAGTCTCTGCTGGGATGACGATTACACCATAGCTCAGTGGTTAGAGCGTCGCGAGCTGCAAGCGAGGGTCCCTGGTTCGAGTTCTGGTGGTGACGGTCAATTTTTTCTTCAGACTTTTCCCGTTTGTGTCTTTCCCTCAAGCTTATGATACCGGTATATGTACAATGTCATGTAACCTTCCCCCTACTACCTTCACTGTATCGCTCGATTTCTACCTAAGTACGTACTGAATATAGTAGAACCTAGTGTAAGCGTGCGTGCGTGAGTGCGTGCGTGCGTGGGTGCGTGCGACTCCGGCGATACTTGGGGAATCGGGTGTTGCTCCCTACATGGGAGCTCGCCCATTTCCTGCCGACGTACATTCTCACTCGACTGACCCACGACTGCCAAGCGCCATGCAGAGCACACGAGAAGTCCATCGAACCGTCCACTCGGCAAACCTGCAAGAATGCACCACTCCCTGCTCAATACACAGTATTTCGGTTGAGCTTGAGTAGGCTGAGGTTGTGCCTGAAGAGTACCACTTATATACTGAAGCAGTGCTCTCCAGGCACAAACATCACCAGGGATACAAGCTAACAGAGAGTTTCCAGGGCAACAAACACCTCGTGAACACCAGATAGCAGGGTGAGTCAGTGTCGCTCGTGGAGGTGCTGAACATGCGATGAGGACTACATAAGTGGTGCTCTTCAGGCACAATCTTCCTCAGCCTACTCAAACTCAACTGATGAGGGGTGAATTCCCCGAAACACTGTGCATTGAGCAGGGAGTGGTGGTGATTTACAACAATACACCTTGAAGCAGCCGAGCCTGTTGCCTTGGCAACAGACCCAACGTTAAAGTAAAGGGGGCTTATGTGTACCCACGAACCGGACTAGCTGGCGCGCACGCACGCACACAACACACACACACACACACAAACACACACACACCATTGGACCATTGGACGCCCATCGCCGGAGGCGATGATAGCGATGCTACAGCAGAAGCCATAGCAGCTTGTGCTGGGATTGCACCATTCAACAGCTTGCAAGGCTGTAGAACTGACCGCCACTATTCAGCCTGGTCTACACCACACAGCTACACGCACACTCACACACACACACACACACACACACACACACACACACACACACACACACACACACACACACACACACACACACACACACACACACACACACACACACACACACACACACCAAGTCCACGTAATGTGACATGTACAAATTAATGTAAAATGGATCAACGGTTCAACACTCAAGGTGATGGATACACGGTCTCAAAGCAAACTGTATGCAACGGCTTTCCTTCCACAGTCATGCAGAGTTCTTCGAAAGTCTGAGCCCGCTTGTTTAGATTATCCAAACAAAGGCATCAGGAAAATAGAAGCCCGTGACGTTTACTGAATTCAGGGCGCAAGCAGGGTGCAAGTGTCCTGAAGCCCAGCGGCATGTCAACAGCACTAATGCACACACGGGTTACGTTTGAGTAGCAATGGTGAAAAGCGATGGCCGACACACTGTGCTTCAATCCACGGTCGACGACGGACGCTAGCTGAGCACATCAAATGGGATGTATGCATCCATTTCCCGCCGTTCGGTGTGGCGGGGCAAGTATACTACAACCGTACACACCTATAATACCAGCTCTGCATAACAGGTCATCAGCTTTGTACGGTTATACACATAAATGTACTGGAATGGGTTGTACCTGCCAAAAATGGGGTAATTTGCCCCGCAAACAGGTGACGACCATCTTCGATGCATACCTCCCATAGGCATTACACCGGCAAGGGGAGGAACTCGACGCTGTTCTCATACTGGCCATTGCCCCTGCTGCCGCCGATACACACGTAGTGGCCTGCGTGGTAAACAACAGCTGGCCGGCGCCTGGCAATGGTCAAGGGAGGGTTCATCGCCCACTGAGCCGCTGCCTGGCCCATCACGCACACGTCTCGGGATAGAAGGCTGAACGCGCTTCTCGACGTGATGGCCATGCGCGCGCACTTCTTGGCCTCTGATCTCCCCTTGCGCGGCCGCGAGGATTTCTTCTGAGTGACGACCTGCACTCCACCAACGGTCATCAGTTGATTGTCTTGATACACAGCGGAGCATAGAGCAGTTGGCGTTGGCGAAAGAGCGGCGAATCGTTCTGCAGCAAACGGGAAAGAGACACAGACACTCGGGGCTGACGTATTGGACGTATCGAAGTTTAGGAGACGGAGAGATACCGGTAGTCGCCTTTCCTGGATGCGACGGCTTCAACATTTAACAGCACATTACTAAAGCTAGATTCATAAAAAAAGGTTTGGAAAGAACAGTTTGAAGAGCTCCACGACAGCCTTCTAGGATCCCGAAGGCACACAGATATGTAGCCATAAGATTAAATCCCCACCTCCACACACATATACACTGGAGAGGTTATATTCGATGTAGCTTTGGGTGAAGCGCCAAAGTTTGCGTTGAAAATAGCGTTCAAACGTTGCATTCGATGTGAGTTGACTGCAGCTCACGTTCCAACTTGATGTTAGAAGATATTCTGACGTGACATTTCACGATTCTCCGAAAGTAACACACACACACACACACACACACACACACACACACTCTCTCTCTCTCTCTCTCTCACACACACACAAACACATGTTAAAGAGTTCAGAAGAATAGGCCAACTTTAGCTACAGGCTGAGAAAGAGAAACGAGACAGCCTGCCCAGTCATACTACCGTGCTCAGCCCGGTGCGCCGTACGAGATTGCAGCAGAACAACACAATGGCTCACCAAAGTACCGATGATGCCAAAGCACAGCAGTACCACCGTATTTCCCCGATTGTAAGTCGCACCTTTTTACACTAAACTTCAAGGGCAAAGAATCGAGTGTGACTTCTTACTTATGTGAATGCATTGGTTCGGACGTGAGAATGGGCTGCGACTTGTAATCAATTGCGACTTATAATCGGGGAAATACGTTATCCGAGATGGCAGAGTCAACAACACCTGAACAGACAGGCATAGTGCGTTGCTGATCTCATGCCCGCACTCCACTAAGTCAAGTGTATGTACTGTATGGGAAACTCGGGCTAAGCGAGTCTCACGCAAAGGGTGAATTATACTTGTATTTCAAATGACCAAGATGGTACTCTACCCAGTCAGAAGTTTAGGTTTCACTGGCCCCAATGCTACGTAGCGCTTGGGGTGAGTTGACCGGCACAATTGGACTTTGTTTGGGCAGCACCACGGCTAATCTGAGTTAATGACAGCAGTCAACAACATGCTACCGCTACCTACCGGAACTCCAGCACTCGGTCGGGGTTGCCGACGCTGGCTGATTTTCCTCGCAAGTCCTGTCGGTCGCCGTGTCCAACTGGTCAGGTTGAGCATCAGACCTGCAAGACCAGACCAGACAGAGGACAATGGTAAACGTTTGACCAAGACAGTGGTACGCCCATACCACATACATTAAAAACTGTGACTAACGACCACCCCTTTCGGGCCAAAGAAAGTGGTCTTTAGTGGCAGGTGGTCCTTAGTTAGAGGTATGCAACGTACAATCATAATATATGTGAGTGTGAGACCGTCCGTGCCTGGCCAAGTGGTCTGTAGAACCTGGCTGGTCGCTAGTCACGGTGGTCTTTAGTAAAAGGTTTTACTGTGTCTTGTAACTGTGGTACTGGCGAGAGAAATACAAAATTGTGATTCAAATAGCACCGGGCGCTACACAGTCCTACAGTACTGTTGGGCGCCGAAGAACTAGGGGGTGGGGGTGTCAGGGTTCTAGTATAGCCCGTTCTTATCTTTAGCGAACACAGCGGTTTCATTCTTATTCGATGGTACAGTCTTACATGTACATGTATGCAGAGTTATACGTCTGAGTGTACATTATAGTGTACATTACGCTTCCCATTCTTATCTGCAAAAATCCAGCCCCCCCCCCCCCCCCCCCCCTAATAATATTGGTGAAATTCTAGCCTGGCCGTTCTTCCGCACCCGACTGTACTGTAGCAATACACAGTCATATTGTGCTGTGTACTCGAACGCGGCACCACGATATTAATGAGGTTGGGTTTCTTCTGGCCAGAACTGTAGTCGAGAGGGACTGCGGCCCGCTACATAATTGGTGGCAGTGGTGGTTCAATTTTATAATTGCTAGATTCGAACCCACCTAGTATCTGTATTGCATTGATGGCAGCGGCGCTACAGAATGGATGGCAGTGGTAAATTGTTTTATTGGTGTAACCGGTACCAGCATGGCCCAACCTGATGCGTCAGTCGTCGCTACTCCTTCGCCCGCCACGTCTCCCCCTAGCCCGAAATGATGACGGACAGCGTCTCTACCGATCAAGCTCCATGTCCAACGTAAGCTAATTCCCGATATGGCATTTTAATTCCTGTCTTCCTTCAGTCTTCCTGTTCTCTTCAGTCTTCCTTTATGCGAGTGTGTGAATCCAGTTTAGTTAGGTAGGCGTCCGATCATGGTGAGCCACGGTCTATCTAGCTAACCTGGGACGATGTGTGTGACAATGCCCCTTATAATGTATTCAGTTCGGTTTTGAACTGCTAATGTGCTGGCAGGTTGTCCCAGGGTTGTGCAGCAAGAGTGCTGTGGTTTTCACGTCCTATTTGGAGGACGGTTCTTTCCCCTTTTGACCCCGTGAGATCGTGTGAACCTGGTGTGCTGCTACTTTATGATTTTATCAGTTCATTTCTTCTGTCTACTCCAAACGTTATCATTTCCGATATTATTTTGCCATATTCCGGTTGAGGCTCTACCAGTAATGATTCGCTATCTACTAAAATGTTCCATATTCGTACAACCTCTTAGTCCTATGATCTGCTGCTGGGCTTCAGCCAGTACTTCAATGTCAGTTGTCCTCATTGTGTCCGGATATCAACTGAGGCTGTTCACGAATACATACCTGTATATGCAAGTTATCCATTCTGCCTATCTCCTATCGTCAAGGTTATTCCGACGCGATCATGCATGCCGCCAGTGTCTACTAATCTCAGTCGATTGCCGGAGTCCGGCTATCAACTAATCTAAACTCGACCAGTCTAGTCTGCGCATCTCCATGATCTTCTATCAGTGTTCGTCACTTCCTATTCTGCTACTCGTACTCTAATCACGAGGACGTGATTGTGTTTAAAGAAGGAAGGTGTAGCGTTGGCACGCTAGTAACTTACACAGCTGCAGCGTGAATCACTTTCAATGTATTGGTCACGCGTGTTACACCGCACCCGTACTCCGCACTTGCAACTCTGCACCAGATACCGTGCTTGCAGATCCATGACATGGCTAGTAACTAGTCTCACTGCACTGCATTCAATGTTTCATATTGACCTTAGAAATACAGTGTACTACTCTAGACCTTTTGCTGCACTTTCAACCGCCTCTTTCAACCGCCTCTTTTACGCCCAGTTTTTTGAAAAATAGAACGCCAATACTAAAAAAAACAAAACGATCGAGTGCAAAATTTCGAATACTCGCTCGTTTGAAATTTTCGAACGAATACTCCAATATTCGAACTAATCGTTTCACCCCTAGTGGGTGTGGGCGTGTGTGTGTTTGTGTGTGTCACTGTGTGTGTGGGTGGGTGTGTGTCACTGTGTGCGTCTGCAGCAGTGGGCTGTGCTCCTAAACGCTGCGTTCAGAGCAGGCTTAGCAACAAGGTAGTGCTTTTAAATTGCTCAGCCTTGCATGCAGCTAAATGTAACATTCACATCATTCGCCTGTGGTCATCAAAGGCCAATGAAGGTTTTGGCTTACGAGTTGATAGTGAATGCTTGTGTGTAACTGAGTGGCAGATGAATGAACTCAGTGAATATTTCTAGATGATTCGCACTCATACCTGCTGGGCTCGTGAAAGGTGACACGCACTACGTCAAAGTTGCTCTGCTGAACACGCAGCTTTGCCGTGAATCCTCCAAACAGCAGCAACGCGTCGTCGACCCATACTGGACACGCTCCAGCCACTGCTAACGGCAGGTTCCTGACGCCAGTGACGTGAGAGAAGTCAACCAGTGAGCACCACTCTGACTCATCGTCCCCGGTGGTCTGCAGAACGGCAGAAGATAACAACATTACCGGTATGAAGAGTTACGAGTTACTGTAATTTCACAAATTTTTGGTGTATTTCGAATTCGGTACTTTCGGTGCATCTGTTTCATACCTAAAATTTCAATACACCGATCAAACACTAACACATACAATCCAATAGGGAACTGTTTCTCTGTAACCAAAATTGCTGTTCACCTATCCTGACCTTTTGCCCTCATACCGAAAATATGAGCACCTAACATGTCTGAAGTTAGAGTATCAACATGGTCTCAATAATTGACTCAGTATACTGCCTCCTCATACTACTTGTTATACCATTGCATACCTCATGAGGGAAATTTTGCCGAAACATTGTAATAACTGATTGATAAGCGAGTTCGATAGTGTTGCAGGCTGAATGGCAAAGAGTGGGCCTGCCTCTAAAACCACTTCCTGTGAATGAAGCTGCAGGAAGCCTCACCACTGCTACTATCCGTATTACACTGACATTAAAATATCAACAGACACACAACCCTGGTAGTGCAGTAGCCTTAGATTCAGGCAGCCACAACGCCTCTCCATGGGAAAACAATCTCGGATTGTGAATCAAGGAAACTTCGCTCGGTTGCCTGAGAACCGTGAATTACCCTGAAAATCTGAGTTACGACACAGCTTCCTTAGTCTTTACTACACTCATACCTCAGACTGGGCACTGCCCGCAACTCCGAATCACATACATTTTGATGACGAAAGGCCATAGATATGGCATGTGACGTCACTACTTCCACAAGAAGTGACAAAAGAGTAGTAATATTTCCACTGAAACTCGCCCAAAGTGTGCCCGGTAGACCGAAGTGCCTGTAACTTTGGGGTCCGGATAACCAAGGTATGAGTGTACATGGAAAGCACTGTCCTATACGAGCATTGCTCACTCTTCGGGCAGTGTAACACTTGCATACGTTAATCCTCAAATACACACAAGAGTTACAGAGCATAGCCTACGAGATGCCTGTAGTGATGTATTACACATGTATAGTATACGCAGGCGAGTAGCCCGCATGCGGCACGGAGGGCACGTGCACCCTCCAAAGGTTTCGACCGAGTTCAGCATGCATAATGCACATCATGAATATGTACCAGCCATCCTATACACATGCGGCCGTGTACCCCCTCTAAAAGGCAGACCAGCTACACCCCTGAGTAAGCGCATGCATGCATGCAGTACAGCGAAGAGCAGAGCTTGAAGACGAAGCCTCTACAATGGCTACCTCCTGACTTGTGTTGGTGCAGTGTTGTCAATCTACACTGCTCTGTGACTGGTGCGATAGAGCTCTAGTCATCTGTGCGGTGAGCACTCTATCAGCGCGACTCAGATCTCTTTTATTTAAAGAGCAAAACATCAAATAGAACACCAAGGGTAACACGCGATCCCATGTTGAAAGGATTATGGTCTTGAAAACACACACACAAACACACACGTACACACGCACATGCACGCGTGCACACACAAACACACAAACACACACACACACACACACACACACACACACACACACACACACACTGTAAGCCAATCTTTCTGGAAGTCTCAACGCCCTGCACCGGCACACAAATCCTTTGCAAGCACCACATGCAATGCAGCCGTATAGTAACATGATACTTTCTCCGGCGCTGTACAGTAAAACCAAGGCAGATAAAGAAGATTGTGCAACTCCGGATCACTTCTGCACAATCTGCAGATACCCCGGCGGAATTTTTTGTTGACGTCACCTTTTTTTCAGAAAAACGCGCATTTTGCCGCAGATCAGTGTGAAAGCACGTGCTGGGCACCGACCTTGTAATGTAAAGCCCGGCCAATTGCACGAGGCAAAGCTTTCCAAAAGACTCGCAGCGCGTGCGTCGTCAAAAACATTCCGCCAACAAAAAATTCCGCCGCGGGCCAGCCCATCTCAGAGTTGTACACTCTTGTTTATCTACTCTTGGTAAAACCTGTCAAGGCGACCACTCCGATAAGGCGATCACCTGTCCAAAATGACCACTGAAACAACGACTAATGGATGCTATTTGCAGTCGAATGACCCTGGATAAGGAGACCACCTGTACACGAGGACCACGTTTTGAAGGTCCCTTGAGCGGTCGCCTTAGACAGGTTTCTCTGTCCTCGGAACTTCCATACGTCAAGGCACTCACAGACCCACCGGAACCGGTCAGGTTAGCACTGAACCAACTTTGTGGCGACCAACACAGGTTTACAGCTAAGTAGGGTATATGTCCCCATACTATACAAACATACACATATTATACACAAAGTGTGGAAGACTATGGTACGACTGGACCAATTGAAAACTGCTTCCGGCTGTCCTGACTCACCTTTTCTCCTTGATGCGCTACGTGGCTTGAGATAATCCATCTGTGGTCTGTCAAGCGGTACGCAACAAGCAGACCGACGGTCTTGCGTCCATCCCATCCGCCAGCCATGATCACCGTCTCATCACGCACCGTCAGCGCAGAGTCGTAAATCTGCCACGGCACGACAGTCTCGAAGACCCAACTTCCACGAGATGTCCGCTCGGCACAGTCGTTGGCCGGATCCTCTGTGATCACGCTGTTAGCTTGTTCCTCCCTGTCAGGATGTTGGCGCTCATCTCTCTGCTCTCCCGCTGCGCAGGGAGATGACTTAGGTGATTGAGAATCGATGGTGGAGTGATGACCCGCTGACGTATCCAATGGAGGCGAACTGTTCATTGAACCTGATGCAGCTTCATACTTGTGGATCTCGCATACAGTGTCGGTAACAAAGAGATGTGGAAAGGGCTGGAGATACTGCTCTGCCAGCGTATCGTCCATGTGAGCCAGCAGTACAAGGTGTGTTTCGGTCGCCGCCAATCCCAGCACGGCATGGATACATGCGGGCAGCATGCACTGGATCCATCTCGACGGCAAGGCGTCGTCCACGTCACTCTTGAACAGCACCGGGCAGCCTGCCGTGCCACTCGCTACGTAGATACGCCCTTGCCAAGTGCACGCGTAGCTAGGCTGTCCGGCAACGCACGGCAGTGGTTCACCCCTGTTCCATGTGCTCTGTAGAAATGAGAAGCATGGCAATACATATGCACACAGAACAAGCTGTTTAGCCGACAACAAGTTAATATATTTATACCGAGGGTAGCAACAAGTAACTCACCAACCAGCAATCCAACACGCATACGCACACGTACATACACATACACCCCATCCCCTCTACACACACGCACAAACAAACTTTAATCAAGATTTGCTCCGTGATCTTGGGAGATAATGCTATCATTTAGATATTCACATCTTTTCACTACCATGCATTGTGATTGCATTGAAACAGCATGGTCATAGCTTGCGATCAAACTATTTCTTACACGCGGTGTCCCGAGTATTGGGAGTCCACTCAAACCGGTAAAATACAGTGCGTCCAAATTACAAGCCCACGGTAGAATACATCTCGCTAGTAAAGTGATGGCAACTGAAATCCAACCCCGCCTCGGTGCGCTCACACTGCCACAGCCCAGCACCGGCGTGTACACTACCAAGTAGAGACCGCTGGAATCGGTTCTGTTTTCGAGCACAAAAATCAGCCGCTGGATTTCAGTTGCCACTGCTGTGCATATAATCCTGCACGTACAGTGAAACCTGTGACTAACCACCGGCCCTTGGGGCCAGAGAAAGCGGTCTTTAGTGGCAGGTGGTCTTTAGTTAGAGGTTTGCACAGAACCACCATATCTGAATGTAAGATCGTCCGTCCGTGTCTGACGAAGTGGTCTGTAGGACCAGGCTGGTCGCTAGTCGCGGTGGTCTTTAGTTACAGGTGGTCTTTAGTTACAGGTGGTCTTTAGTTACAGGTGGTCTTTAGTTACAGGTGGTCTTTAGTTTCAGGTTTTACTGTATGTCTTACCTGTGAGTGGTCGTTGAGTTTGGCTTGCATCCTGTCAACACGATTAGACAGGTTATCCAGTGTGGCACTGAGGTTCTTCTCCAGCAGCGACAGCCTGTGCAGTTCATCCACACCAGAAGCGTTGGGCGCTTCGGTGCCGGCAGGAGTTCTGCTGCTCTCTGGCAATGCAGTGCTGGGAGTGACTGGGTGAGCGAGTGCACCCGGCTGTGCGCCGGAATAGCGGCTGCTCGAGAGCTGCGGTGACTGTCGCTCAGACTTCACCGATGCCTTGCTGCTGGAGGCGTTGTCATCAGCAATAGGCCAATCACCACTTGGCCTGCCACTGGCGTCCTCACCGGCAGTAGACTGGTCGTCGCTAGGTTTGCCATTTGCCACGGCGCCTTTCCCCTGCTCGATGATAACCGGCGCATCATCGGTAGTGGGAGCATCATCGTTCCTTGCGGTGTATTCGACAGCGACAGTTTCACTCATGGTGGCAGTGACCTCTATAGCAGCATCAGTCTGGTCCGTATTTGCAATCTTGATGTTTGCTGTGGAGTCAGTCGTCGTCACTGAAAGCTCAGTGGTCATTATTGTGACCTGAGTGATTGGTGAAGACTCGTGAGCTGTGTTAGCATTATCGGTGGTGGCGGCATCACCTGTACCCACATCAGTAAGGTCAGCACCCAGCACAGCTCCGTTGGCAGGGGAATTCCCAGTTCCTGCAGCGTGGTCCACAGTGGCAGCCTGATATACAGGGGTAACTTCCTCGGCGGCGGTGGAAGCAGCGCCTGTGTCTGTAGCAGCCTGCAGAGCTCTGTTTGCGGACGAATTTCCGTCAGCAGCAGCCTCACCTGTACTGGCAGATGGATCCGCAGCAGCAGTCTCATCAGCCCCATTCATGGCACTCGCCTCATTGGCCTTCACAGCCAAATCGCTAGCAGTAGTGCCATTGGCATTAGCCGTCTGGTCGCTTGTGACAGACTCAGCAGTAGTGTCAGCCACACGGTTAGAGCCAGTCTCATCTGTAATGTCGGCCACGCTGGTTGGCATAGCCTTGTCACCAGTGGGAGATTCGATAGTAGCAACAGCTTCCTCAATGGTGGCGGCCCCATCGGTGGTCAGCGATCCGTTGCTGGTGACTGCTTCTTCAGCAGTGCTACCCTCACCTCCTGTCGCACATGCATTGGTAGTTCTGGTTGTTACTGCCTGCCCCGCAGCGAGTTTGTTTTCTAGGGCAGCCGCATCAAAACAAGCAGCAGGTGCATCGGTAGCGATAGCTGTATCACTTGTGCCTTGCCTCGAAGTGGTTTTCTCATCAGCATTGGAAGCCCCGGTGGCTGAATTGTGTTCAGCCTCACCTCTAACCATTCTTTCAGCACTGGGAGTTTTCCCGGTCGTAGCATATGTCTTGTTGGCAGCAACTTCCCCGTCAAGAGCAATTGCCTCGTCTTTAGCAGCTGCAGCCTTGTTTGTAGCCGCTGCCTCCTTAGCAGTAGCTGCTTCCTCGGCAGAAGCTACCTCATCAGTTGTAGCTGTCTTGCTGGTAGCAACTCCATCATTGGTGCCCACTGCCTCGTCGGTAGTAGCTGCTTCGTCGGCGGTACTTGCTTTGTCAGTGGGAACTGCTTCATCAGTGTCACCTGTTCCATCGGTAGCCAAAACCTTGTTGGGTGCAACTGCCTCGTCTGTATCAGCTTCTTTGACGGTAGTGACTACTTGAACGGAATCCGCTACCCCGTTAGTAGCAACCGTATCATTGGTAGTAACCGTTTCGTCGGTAGGAGCTTCCTTGTTCCTTGCCCCATCTGTAGTAGCTACATCATCTGTAGACTCTGTTGAGGTCTTGGTAAGGGCTTGAACGCCACTCACAGCATCAGCAGAGGAATAACCCGTGCAGATATCGTCAGGAGCTCCACCATCTGCAGAGTCACCGTCGGCAGAGGCAGCACCTCCCACAACACCGTCTGCTGCTGTGCCCGCAGTACCGGCAACATCAGCATTGGAACCATTGCTAGCAGCAGTTTCGTTGCCGGCATTCTCATTAGTGGCATTTTCAGCGGCAACCCCATCAGCGCTGGCATCACCAGTATCGGCAAAATCGACAGCTGGACTGCTAGCGGAGGCAACAGCTGCTATGACACCGCTGGCCACTACACCATCAGCGTTGATGCCATCAGCACTGACACCATTGTGAGCAGCATCACCATTGGCATTGGAATCGCTTTCGTTGGCTTCACTTGCGACGGTAGTATCATCAGTAATACTGTCGGTTTTAGCACCATCAGCACTGGCTCCCCCGCCACCGCCAATATTGGCAGTGGCACTGGCTGCAGAGGCAATGTCCGCACTGGCAGCGTTGCCAGTAGTATCGTCGATGGTGGCACAATCGGCGTTGATGCTCTCAGAAGCAGTAGTTGTACCATCGGCATCGCCAACGATGCTGACGGCACCATTGGCGGCAGCAGCAACTCCCTTGTCAGCGGCACCGCTACTACTGGCATCCTCACCATCAGCACTGGCTCCGTCGGTAGCAGTGTCGTCGGTATCGACAACGTTGCTAGGAGCACCTTTGCCATCGGCCCCATCGGTAGTGGCACTGTTGACTTCGGCACCATCAGCTTCTGCATCGTCGGCAGACAAAATTCTTGCAGAGGCACTGTTTGTAGCGCTATCGCCGGCATTGGCATAATCAGTAATAGTATATTTGTCGTCGGCATCATCGGTGATGGCACTATCGGCTTTGGCACCACCGGCGCAGATAGGGTCTTCAGCGGCACCTTTGGCAGAATTATCGTCGGCATCGGTACTGTTGGTAGGGGTACCTTCGGCGGAAGCATCATCGGCAAAGCTACTATCACCGCCAGTGCCAACCACAGAGGCAACGTCTGCAGCGGCACCATTCACAGCCGTATCGTCAGCATCGACATTTTTCGTAAGGTCATCCTTTGCAGAAGCGTCACCGGCAACGGCATTATCGCCTTCGGTATCTTCCGTGGCGGCAACGTCTGCAGCGACACCAGTTGAGGCAGCGTCACGGGTGGCAACATCGTCAATAGTAGCATCGTCACCAGCATCACCAGCAGCGTTGGCAGCAGCACCGGGGGCGGCAGCAGAACCACCTGTAGCGATCTTGTCCGTACTAGCATCGTCACTGGCAGCAGCAGCAGCAGCAGCAGCACCATCATCATTGTCGGCAGTAGCAGCACCATCATTATTGACCGCAGCAGCACAGTCAGCAGCAGAATCACCTGTAGAGACATCATCCATACTAGCAGCTTTGGCAGCCGTGGCACCATTAGCATTGACACCAGCAGCACCCTCAGTGGTGGCAGCAGCACTGTCGGCAGCAGCACTGTCGGCAGCAGCAGCACCTGTAGCGACAGCATTCGCAGTAGCATGATAGGCAGCAGCAGCACCATCAGCGTCGGCACCATTGTCACTGGCATTATCCGCATTGGCAAAGTCTGCACCGGCACCATTTGCAGCAGCACACGTCCTAGCAGCATCATTGTTAGAAGCACCAGCAGCGCTGGCAGCAGCATCACTAGTATTACCAGTAGCGGCATAGTAAATGTCGGAAACATCTCCACTGGCACCGGTGCCGGTGGAATGAGCAACGTCTTCAGGGGCACTGTCATCAGCAGCACCACTTCCGGCGATACTAGTGTCCACTGAAATAACACCTCCCGCGTTATTAGCATCACTTGCTGAAGTAGCATCACTAGCGGTCGTAGCATCATCAACAGCACCTTTTGTAGCGGCAGTATCAGTGGAGTAACCATTGGCATTGGTGTTATCAGTTCCGTCGGTTTTGGTCATAGCTACAGCACCGTCAGTAGCGGCATGATCATTGTTGATTGCAGGAGAAACATGATCCTTACTGGCGACAGCACGTCCGTCGATGGAATCACCGTCTGGCGCTGGGTCACATTCATGTACGTCAGTAGATGTTTCAGAAGCAGACAGGGTGAATGCATTTCGTGTGACAACCTCCACGGCTTGCGACGACATCAGGGTTGGGAACGAGTCCAGGCCATCCTCATCGGCAGCCTGTGGAACGGCCGAACTTTCTTCTCCAGTTTCACCCTTTGCTGCTTCTCTGGTGTCCGTGCTCAGCGGCAAAGTCCGCTCGCAGCCACCGTCCGCGTTTTCTTCCGTGAATGCCGGAACTAGGGGAGTGACAGTGATCTGCTGCAGCATCTGTGGCACTTGGATGGGTGCTCTTGTTTTCCCTAGCATGTTGTTCATATCATCGCGCATCGTCCTGGCCAGAGAACGAGCCAGCAACAGCTGATCCTGTACCTTTGTAACATCGTCCCGGCTGACGGTCGGCTGAAACCAAGAGCTCGGAAACAGGCGAGGATTAGTCGCCGGCACTTCGCTAGCGTTATCCGAATTGCGAGATTCGGACGCACAGCTGTTGTTGGGTGCGGTGTTATCCATGCACGTACTGTTATTTATCGCCACGGACTGGTCTAATGTTATACCCGAGGCTGGTTGATCCTCCGGCTTTTTTGCCGCTTGCTCATCCTCGTTTGAAATCGAGGCATGCAATGATTCTGCACCAATGTTCTCGCTAGCCATTGTCGTCGGAGTTTCCGGTGAGCTCTGCGCATGGGAAACAGTACACGAGCCAGGGATTGCTTCGTCCGCAGGTGTGCTTTGGAGTACGGCAGTGCCCGGCTTGCTTAAAGGCACCTCACTAGCTGGCGCATCAGTCGGCGACTGCTCTACAGACTCCTGGTCAATGTATCCAGTCATGTCACCCTCATGCTCTCCTTCTTGTTGAGTGTCTGAACTCATTGAGCCGGCAGCGGTTTCCTGCGAATCGGTGGAGCCTTCAGGCGATCCCCTTGCTTCAAACTCTTGGTCGATCTGTCCACCGCTCTGTCCTGCTGAACGTGCGGGAATGTCAACATCGACGCTGTCCGAGGGTTCCTTGCCGTTGGGCGTCTTGGAATGTCTATGCTCTGGTTCGGAGCTCTCGGCAGCCGAGTCGGCCAGTTCCGGCACTTCTGTCACCACCTCGTTGCTCTGCTGTCGTTCTCTTATCTCCTGTTGCCGAGGCAGGTTTTCCTGTGCTGCTGGGCAATCTTCGGCAGAAAAATCATCACGTTCTTCAGGCATGCTATGCACAGTTTCCACAGTCGGCGACGGCTGCGTGACAGAATTTGCCGCCGTGGCAACCCCCTCCTCCTGTGCGCTATCCTCTGTGACACCGCCAGTACGATCAGCCCCGGATGGCTCCTCAAGCGCGCCTCCGACGCCCGGAGACCCATCGCTATCCTGTGTGCTGCCAACGAGAGAGTCGGCCTCTACAGGCTCTGAATTTTCTTGCGTCACGGATTGACTCGCATCGGTGGGGACGTCCTGGGCACCATCGCTGTCATGTTCCAATGTACTGGCAGCACAATCGTCCACAATCTCACGACGTGGGTCCTGGTCATCATCGACAACAATTGGTGACGGCGGCTTGGGATACCGCGTTCCTCCGCTTGCTCGGTACTGCTCGCCGAGTCGGATCTCCTGAAGTTTCGTGACGAGATCCGCGGCCGCCGGCCGTGCTTTCTCCTTGCGCTCCAGGCACTGGCGTACAAGCTGAACGAACGCAGCGCTGGGGCACTGCTCCTCGAGCTGTTTCAGCTGCCCTTGCCGGTTTCTGTGCTGCTCGTCCGCCCACATGTCACACCCGGTGCTGCCCGGTCGCCATAGAAACAGCTCGCCGATGAAAGACGGTTCCTGTGCCAACGACGCACTCAGCAGCACGGCGCCTAACGAGTACACGTCAGACGGCGCATCTACATGTGTGGGCAAGCTACCGGCCTTTTGACGTGCCCCACCGCCACCGCGGAGCGGCGGGTCAACGGTCTCTGGTGCGGCGAATCCAAACGAGCTCGGGTAACGCTTCAGCCGACGGGCAATCCGTGAAAGTCGGTGGTGAAACGTTCGCTGCTCCACGTGCCCACCCAATTTGGCCACAGGCTGATCGTCGCGTGGGTCCTCCGTGAACAGCACACAGCGGTTTGTCACTGCTCGGTGTACGTAGGCATTGGAGTGCATGTGACTGAGTGCATATGCAACGTCATGTGCAACGTCCACCAGCACTGTCCATGCTACGCTGCCAGAGCTTTGCACGGCTTCGTACAGGGACATGCCCATGCGCTCCACCACCAAACCTGGAGGGTTGTCCGCGCCTGCTGCGTCACCGGTCACGTCCGATACACCGTAGTAGTGGATCAGCGAGGGATGGGGCGGCAGACTGCTCCAGTGCTGCAGCGCAAACGACAGCGACTTGACGAACGGCCGATGTCCGTGAACGTCAGGTATGAGGAATATCGGATGGCCGCGCTTCACAGCAACGCTGCGCGGGGCACGTACCAGTTTACGACTCAAGTTGATGGAGGCTGCCTCCTCGTCTGCATTGTCATTAGCGGTAGATTCCGGCTGCTCCGCATTTTCACCACCATTCCCTTCCGCCAAACCAACCCAACCAGCGTAAACACTACAGAAAGCACCACTGCCAAGCAAATTTTGAGAATCGACGCTAACTTCTTTCACGATCCGCTGGTCTGGGAACATCCGAATTTCCTCGGTATCCGAATCGAAGTCGCCATCATCACCCGCGCTACCTTTGGTGCCTGATGCCATTGCTGGTCGGGGATAATACGAATTAATACAGGCCCTAGTGCCAATTGGACTTCGGAGAGACGGGAAAAAACAGCGGAAGAAGATGTCAAAAAAAGGAATGAAAGAGAATCATGAAAATACTTTGACGATCATTGCGGCTGCTGTTCTCCTCGCGCATCAGGTCATTCAGGATTTCACGACCCTGAACTGGCTATGATCATACATGTACTGTATCAGTGTATGCTGAAGTGTTCGTTGAAGGGCAGTAACAGTACTAACACTAACACACTCTCTGACTTACACTGTGCATCGACGTCTTGACTTTAGTACTCTTTACTGACGACTGCCAGTACATGATTGTACTGGCTATGCGTAGATCTACTGACAGTGACAGTCCGTTGTATCGATGATCCTGGACCTGGGGATCAGCCTCCAGTGGAGTGGAGTGGAGGTTCCACTCCACTCCACTCCACTGGAGGCTCCAGTGCAGTGCAAGTGGAGCCTTGGACTTTGAAAAGTTGGAGGCTCATTGACATTGTACAGACTGTCATCAGTGCTGCTCAATGAAATCCAGTCCCGTCACTCGAGTTAGCGCCTTGCATCATTTCGAAGACCAGTGTTCGCAGGTCTAGGGCTGCGCAACGCCCTGCGCGTACTTGAGTGACGCTGTGACTGGATTTCATTGAGCAGCACATGCCATCACTCCATCACCTCCATCACGGCATCAGTCCAGTTTTGTCCAGGCCATATCCATGAAATCCATGGCATGGTATATACTAGTATCCGGGTGTGATCGACAACGAGCCTCCAACACTCGAACTCCGACCGTCGACGTCCTGGAGCTAGCAGTGGAGGCTGAAAGAAAAAGCCTGAACTAGGCTGAAGGCAGAACATGCGTGGTACATGTACACTACAAATTACAATCATTATTGTACAGTCATGTCATGACGTCATGTAGATCTGAAGTCAACCATGTAGACCTACACGTACACCATGTACACGTACACTACATCAAGTACATGTACATTGTACAATAATGCAATAACTCTTACATGACAACCTGGAGGCTCGAGTCCCCTGGACAACCTGCCTCCCTTGATTTGGACTGGGGTTTTTTCTTGCCTTGAACCATAATCCCTGGACACCATTTATTGCAGAGAATGGCTGTGAACATAAAGAAGGGCTATCCAGCGCTTTGAGGTGACAGAACTTCAGAAGTGGTTACCACAGCGCACTGAGAATAGCGCTGCTGTACTGGAGCCTTGGAGAGTTGGAGAGTTGGAGGCCGAAGTCTGAACGGTCACCTCGCTTTTTCTTTTGCCTCCACAGCAGTAGATCTACTACTGACTGTAGTACATGATGATTGTAGACTACATGTAGTACCGATATCACGTGTACCATGGTGTACCGTATGTAGAGTCTACACCGGCCATGGTACGAGTACACCAAGACTAAAAAAGGCAAGACTAGATCATATTATTACTAATATTAGAGTTGAGTACGAGTCTTGACCCATGCCATGGCATTGCGCATGCAGTCTTTGGAGTTGGGTAGATTTACACCATTGGCATTGACCATGTTGACGGTGACTGACTGTGACGATTCTTTTGGAGGCCGGGCCGGGCTGTTGACTGTTGTGTGCATGTGGGGGGACTGAGTCCTGCGTTGGGGGAATCCCCAGCCTCCAGCTGGGCGCTGCCACTGGCACTGGCGCTGCCACTGGAGAGTGCTAGTGCCGTAGTGGAGTCGTGGAGAGTGCTACGATGTAGTGGAGGCTGAGCTGCTGGCGCTAGGACGAGTGGAGGCTGAGCATGAGCTGCAGGCGCTAGACTAGGCCAGGCGCAGGTCGATCATCGACCTCTTTTTACTTCTCTTGAACAACAGTCTACAACTTACAAGTACAACAAGTCAATCGCGAATAACGGCACAGCCTTCACTGCGCCTTCAGACTTCAAACCTGGTGCCTTGGTAGCTTGTCGACTATTAGACTACAGTCTAATGTACTTTCAATCTCGCGTATAACGACAACTACTGTAGCCCGGCCATAGCGACACTTTTTTTCATTCCTGAACGAGCGTCGTTGTTCACAGTCATGTTGACTGTATATTGTCACCTATGCCTGGCCCCTATGCCATGGGGATTGAGCGCGCCTCCGCTCTGGCTTGGCTGAGCACTCTTTCTGGTCAGTGTCCACGACCAGCGGAAGAACCCCAACAAAAGTACAATGTAGTTCCACGAGGCTCTCGTGAAAAGATCTATGCTCGTGAAAAGATCCACATGTATGTGCTCATCACACACTCAGAGTCAAAATGGAGCACTCTGACTTTCCGATCATGACCATGGTGGACAGGCTGAGGGTGACTGCTCGTTGTACTTCACCTCGTTTCGTTCCCTTGCTGTTACTCGACTCTCTAGCTCTTGGCATGCAGTCTTGCTTGTAGCTGTACTTGCTGTGTTTGCTTGCAGTAAAAAAAGAAGAAGCAGAAAAGACTACAGTCCATTCCCTATACGTGTGCACTGTTATTACATGCTCCCATCATACGACTGTGTACAAATACAAGGCAATTTTTTCTGAGTGAATGCACGCTTGCTTGCTGCTCCTTTTAAAGGGGAAGTTAAGGCAAAAATTAAAATTTCACCAGTTGTAGTCTTCCACTTCGGGTTCCTACTTGAATCCCAATCGAACTCGCGCACTTCCACCGAAACTGGGTGACTGCGCCCTACTAGATGGGGATTTGTATGCAAAATGTCACTAAAAGCGCCATTTCGTTCTTATAAAAGCACGAATGACCGCGATTGGTCCATATGTTGTAGTCTTTTGGACGCTGAGTCGACTGGTTTTGGTCCGAAAAGGCTGCGATGCAGCGTTCCTCCTTTATTCCCAATCGAACATGGTTGAACAACCGGTCACGTGCTCCTGGGTGCCCAAATCACCTGGTCACCGCGCCAGCAAGCGACAACTTTCACACCAAGGTTCAACTCGAGTGACAGGACTGCACCCAAAAAAGGTCAAACAGGCTAGTAAGTTGTACCCTGCACAGGCTGCAGGCACGGTGACCATTGGTGACCAGGTGACTGGCGTACGCAGGAGCACGTGACCGCTTGTTCAACCATGTTCGATTGGGAATAAAGGAGGAACGCTGCATCGCAGCCTTTTCGGACCAAAACCAGTCGACGCAGCGTCCAAAAGACTACAACATATGGGCCAATCGCGGTCATCCGTGCTTTTATAAGAACGAAATGGCGCTTTTAGTGACATTTTGCATACAAATCCCCATCTAGTAGGGCGCAGTCACCCAGTTTCGGTGGAAGTGCGCGAGTTCGATTGGGATTCAAGTAGGAAGGGAGCGTCTCAGCTTCCTCGGACCAAGACCATTCGACTCAGCATCCCGAAGACTACAACTGGTGAAATTTTAATTTTTGCCTTAACTTCCCCTTTAAAAGAAACCGGATCAAAATCTGTCCAAATTTCAGAGAGAAAATGGAAAATTGATTTTTTTAGCTCGCTTTGCTGCCTGATTTCCGTGCATTTTCTTGCGCCGCTGCTTTGTCTTTGAAGAAGTCATGAACCTTATTACATGTCAGGTGACCGTTTCCAGGTCTACAGCCAATCAGCGACCAGATAGAGCGGGCAATAATTCTCCATACAAGCCCGCTCAGGCGGTCCAATATTACACGATATTGCCCGGCATTTGACCCCATACGCACTGTACACATACACATACAAATCGTACACGCGTACACTTCCGCACCCACCCACCCCCCCCCCCCCCCGCACCCCGGGTCCTTTCACTTCTGCACCACTTCACCACTGCACATACCAACAAAGCAAACCACACCACCAAAAAGGTTTCATTGTTACTTGTGGTGTGAAGGAGCACTGACGATGGCTGAGGAAGAAGGACTTCTGTCTGACCTTCCTGACGATGTGTCTCAAATATTGGACGTACACCCGGATGTCCTGACCAAGATGCTAGCTGACTTGGACGGTGAACCAATCAACCAAGTTCAAGCTACCAGCGTCGTTCGAGTTGAGACAGAACATGGTGTCCGTGAACGAGCTGTCAACTCACGATTTGTGCGAGTGAGCGAGCAAGATGTTGAGAAGATGCTGTGGGAACAGGAAAACAAAAACACAAAGAATTCAACGAAGAATTGGCTGAAAGTGTTTAGTGACTATCTTGTGGCAGAGAAGAAACAGTGTGATCTGAAGTCAGTTTCCGCTTCACATCTAGCTAGCATTTTGAAGTTTGCGTATGTTTCGCTCAAAACACAGAAAGGCGCCCCTTATGCGAAGTCAAGCTTAGTGTCGTTTAGAAACGCTATCCAACGAGAGCTAAACAATCACAAGCGTAACATCAACATCATAACCGGCATCGAGTTCGTAGAGTGCAACAGAGTGTTTGCTGCCTACATCAAGAAGCTGAAATCTGACGGTGACCTGAAAGCGGTCAGTCACAAGCCCCCCATCAGTGAAGAAGACAACACAAGATTGGACAAGTACTTCACAGACTCCACCAATGATCCGCTTAGGCTTTCGAGATTCATTTGGTTTGTTGTGACCAAGCATTTCTGTATGAGAGGTCGGGAAAGCCAATCAAGTCTGTGCATAGAGGACTTCGAAACTGTCAAGTCTGACTGCACAACAACCTACATCCGGATGACCACTGCCCACAAAGAAAAAAATCACCAGGGTTCCCTTACCTCCGCTGACGAAGTGTCCGATGGTAGGATCGTGGACAGCTTTCAAGTGAGTGCGTTCAACTTGTATATCTCCAAGCTAACGAAGGGCACAGGAGAGAAAACAAGATTGTTCCAGCAAGTGTCAGCAGCAACCCGTCAGAGAGATACGTGGTACAATGGCAAGCCCCTGGGCAAGAACACCCTCGGGTCCATGATGACTCAAATATCAGAAGCCGCTGGACTAACCGTAAAGTACACGAACCACTCGGTGAGAGCCAGCTGCATCACTGAGCTTCTTCGACAGGGTCTAGCACCGTCCACTGTTATGGGCATTTCGAAGCACAGATCCAGCGCCAGTCTTGCGTCTTATGATATGACCAGCCATCTGAAGAGGACAAGCTACACGCAGCAGCACTACTGGGTCAACGTTCATGTGCAAAGCGAGCATCATCATCAGCATCCATTGCATCTTCAACGCCTCCGGCTAAGCGAGCACGCCAAGCCACTCCTTCCATCCAGGATGATGACGGGGATGATGATCTTGATCTGATCCTGTCTCAGGCGTCCCAGAAAGAGCTGGATGAACTCGAATGCCACCAGGAAATGCCTGCAGCAATGCCTTCAGCTTTCAAGACGTGCACTTTCAACAACTGCACAATCAACTTTGTGAAGAAATAAAAAGCTTCGATGTGTTTGTTGTAATTTGAACTACAAGTAGAAGTGTGAGCTGAGGCAAGCGAGTGAGTACACATGGCCAGTCTCATGTTTGTGGTGCATGCATTTAGAAAAGCGATCCTGTCAGCTTTTCTATTATTGTGTTCACATGGCAGAAAAAACGACATCGCTATGCTACGTAAGTTTCTACGTAAGGTGCTCGGTATTTCACTTAGGCTACGTAAGATTCTACGTAAGGTGCTCGGTATAAAAGATCTACCAACGCGTGGTAGCCGCGTGCTGTGCACGTGCACGGCAGACATTGTGTACGTGTTGCAGTGCAGTCCGTTTTCGGATGTGCATGCGCGAGGCCCTACCTTCTTTGGAACTGTTTCTTGCATGAGCTGTTTCGGATATTTCGTGTCCTGGCTTATTTCGCTTCGGCTCCGCTGAGACCTCCTTTCAAGGAATATTACTCAACGACAGGTGAGTTCACCAGTTCCCTTTGATTCATTTGCTTGTTTTGACTCTTTCATTTACGAAAAGTGTGCTGATTTTAGGTGGAATACAATAAATAATTGAAAAGCTGACAGGATCTCTTTTCTAAATTTAGCTTTTCTGCTGTCGAGGTCTTCTTTTACGGAATACTCAATGACAGGTGATCTCTGAGGTGACCAGTTTCCTTCGATTCATTTGCTTATGCTCACCCTTTCATTTACGGAAACGTGTGCTGATTTTATTCGGATTTAGATCCATTCGTATCTCTTTGCCCTTGCCAACAGTGCGAAGAACGCGAATTCACCTTCTTGACGGTAAGGCTTATGTTGCTGTTGAGGCTAAGATGTGTTGTCGAAATACTCATGTTCATTGTACATTGGTACGTTACAAGTAAGGCACTGGTCACGACTGCTTCCGGCATTCCGTGCTCCGATCATAGGATAGAATCTGAATTTTGCAGTGGCATAGCATCGTTGGCAGTTCCCAATCTGGAGGGAATGGTTCAAGGACGCATTGGCCGAGTATGCAAAATAAATTCGCATATCAGGGAAAATCTCCGTTTATATGGAGAGGTTCATGCATTCAGTGACTTGTTTGCTTCATACGAAACAAGCCAATGGGTGCAGTCTCGTCTCGTGAAAATCTCGTACAATTGGATTTGTTTACTCGAGTCAGGGCTGTTTGATTTGTGAGTAGCGGCGAGATTGCACTGCCCCAAATAAAGTTGCGTGCCGGCAAGAGCAAGAATTACGATCTGCAATCTGTTTGTAGTACCTGCAAGAATGTGCTGTACATGTATCGTATTTTCTGTTGTTGTTTCAGTTGCCGTCATGTTGCTAAAGAAAGGTTCAGTGACTCATTTGTTTCATACAAGACGAGTCAATGGTTTGGTCTGGCTTAGAATCTTTCGCTGTAGAAGAAATCTATTCGTGTCTCTATTGGAGAAATAATTGTATTCACTCGTTATAAAATAGAGTTCAAACTCACAGAAAAAATACCATCGGTCCCTTGATGTTCGTCCTAAAGAGGTTTGACTGGATATCATTCATACTCCCCCGAAGTCGTGTAACATTTTATTATTATGGAGTGCCTTGTTTATCTCTCAGTACCTCCAACCATTATATCCTTGCACCTTACATGTATATACTCAGGATCAGTGTAGTTGTTGGAACGAGGTGTTGGACTCAACAATGTATTTGTTTACATTTTAATACATGTTTATTGTTCCTACTTTGCTGTGTTGTTTTAGACAATCGTGGACTTGTAACACTTTGAAGTCATTGAACTACTTCCAAAAGTTGTATCGACATCAACAGGATTACGATTTCAGTACAATATGATGCCGGATGACCTTATCACGACACCCCATGACTACAATTATAAACACAGAATCAACAAAACATCTGCGGCACGCACCTGGTTACAATTCTCAAGTAAATGTGATTTAGGGTGTGGACATCTGAATTTTCTGAAAGACCAAGACAATTTATGACATGAAATTCGGCCACAGCAACATTCACAGAATGACCTGCGTATAAAAAAGTATCACCGCCACTGCACTACCCATATGATTCCCCTGCAGAAGAACATGAATATACAGTGTAGTGCCATTTTCTGCAAGAAAATGCTTGCACATCAATGCGTATAATACGGTTTTGAATTTGATATGATGCACGTGTAGAGGCGCTACATGTAGGCCATCGTTTAGGGCATTCCATTGGTGACACAATTATTATATAATAATATCCTTAGCTAAAAAAACAAAAGAAATTATAGCAATAAAAACTGCTTTATGGCAGTTTTCTAAAAAAAAGTTATTGTGTTCTAGTCCATGGACCCCGTCTAAAAAGTAAGAAATTAACGAAATGGGATAGCCGAAAATTAAAATTTCACACAAAACCTCACAATAATCACAACACTTGAGGATCTTAGTTAAAAAAATACTGCTTTCAACACTTGTTTAGTCTGACCTGAGTCCATCTTGGTCTGACACTTCAAGGGTGACTTGTAGGAGTACTGCACCAACATGCATGAATAGGAAAGAGGACCACGAGGGTAAAAGGTCTTCTCGCTTTTCATCCTGTGTGTGATTATTGTGAGGTTTTGTGTGAAATTTTAATTTTCGGCTATCCCATTTCGTTAATTTCTTACTTTTTAGACGGGGTCCATGGACTAGAACACAATAACTTTTTTTTAGAAAACTGCCATAAAGCAGTTTTTATTGCTATAATGGTGTTTGGCCTACGGTGCCGGTGATGAATAGGGAGGTTCCGGAGTACGATTTTTCGTGTCAAAATCCGTAGAGGCGCTACGGATTTTTTATACGTCGTTTTCGAGCAGTGAAATGTTCCGGAGTACGGAACTTATGAGTTTGCCGTCTTTGCCTAGGTTACGATCCCAAACACGTCACATTCCCGCGCTATGCCTTTTTATTTTGAAAATTTTTACCGAAATCAAAACTTCCCGCGGAAAATCCATGTTTCTTGTACCAAATTTGTACGCGAAAAATCTTTCTGCACCCGATGACGGAAAATCTCCATACGAAACATGGTTCGTGTGAAAGCCAGTCCACACGGATTCTCCGTGCCGAAAAATCGTATGGAGCACGCCTGGAAAAAATCCGTAGCGCCCACACGGATTTTGGCACGGAAAATCGTACCCCGGAACCTCTCTAATGTCGCATACAAACTTATCAGAATACGGATACATGTATCACCAAGGGAGGGAGGGAGGGGGGGGGGGGGGGGCATGTACTCTTGATATCACGGGGGGTACTCTTGGGAGGTTATGTACTCTTGCCAATATGAATGACAGTGTACGGTGATTGGATCAACTAACATGGGAAGTACGTGCGCATGTAATTCCAGTTGGATACATGTGCCTCGTAGTTTTTCGAGTACTGATCCCGAATTCCACGTGTGAAGGCAGTGTACGTTGTTGAGTACATCAAATTCGGGATGTATGCATGTAATAAATGTGTTATTAGCCTCGTAGTACGGGCAATACCGGCTACGATATCTGCCCTCACGGCTGACGCCGTTCGGGCAGATATCGGCCGGTATTGCCCTGATACTCGGCTAATAACACAATACTAGAGAGGTTAAGTTTCACGTAAAAGTCTTACGTCCGTGAACTTTTAGGTCAAAAGGGAGGTTCTGCTCTACGTGTTGGGAACGCGACGCAAAGAATCACGCGAACTTTCTTCGCGTTCCCGTAAAGCGGGATTCACAGAAGCTTTTTTGCGATGCGACACGCGATGCGACAGACGCGAAACCGGGAAAACCCCAAATCGCAGCCATGTCGCACCCCACGCAACTGCCGCAACTGGGCCATCGCAGGCCATCGCAGAAGTTGAGCTTGGCTCAACTTTTGCGATGCGATGCGATGCGACAAGCGATTTGGTGTACGATTTTGACCTTTTCTACAGCAAAGTTGTACAAAGGTGCAAGAGTTGCCTATAATTTTTCACAAGTTGTGTCAAACCGCGCAAATATCATGGTGACGTACCCAAATCAGCAAAACTTTGTCGCATCGCTGACTTCTTCTGTGAATGGTATTTCGCGAGTTCGCATCGCACGCATCCATCGCAGATCGCGTCGCATCGCGTGTCGCATCGCAAAAAAGCTTCCGTGAATCCCGCTTTACGTAAAGAAATGCTGTTCTGCTCTACGTTTCACCAAGACTGCAGGTGTCTGGGTTAGAGTCTACGGCTTCGCGTGTTTTGGCTCCAGATTTCTACGCGGAGATCGGGTTCTCTACGTTGTGGCACACGCAGAGAAAATGCGTACGGATTTGCTGGGTATCGATCAACTGCATGCAGAAAACGGCCAAATATGGAAGGGGAAATTCCCAGTACACATTCCACGTGACTTCTCTAGGTGAAACCAAGAGTACGTGGGGGGGGGGGGGGTTATGTACTCTTGCCAAGAGTACATAACCCCCCCCCCCCCCCACGTACTCTTGGTTTCACCTAGAGAAGTCACGTGGAATGTGTACTGGGAATTTCCCCTTCCATATTTGGCCGTTTTCTGCATGCAGTTGATCGATACCCAGCAAATCCGTACGCATTTTCTCTGCGTGTGCCACAACGTAGAGAACCCGATCTCCGCGTAGAAATCTGGAGCCAAAACACGCGAAGCCGTAGACTCTAACCCAGACACCTGCTCTCTACGTGATTTCTCTACGTTTCACGTATAGCAGAACCTCTCTAAAAAGAGAAAAAACTCACGTAAAATTTGACGTGTTTTACGTGAGTTGCCTGTCCCGCACGTAAGTTCATGACGTGAGTTTTTGGAAGTTTCGCTTGGTTATCCCGACCGAATTTGTGTGAGTTTCCGGAATTTTATCGAGATCTATCAAGTTTGTTCGAAGATTTGATATTTGTGCGAACTAAACCCGAATCCTTTTGAGATCGGCGTCGGAGATAGCGCCCTGCAATGGTTTGCGAGCTACCTACGAGGCAGGCGGCAGCGAGTGGTAACACGTACGTCCAGAGGTGAACTGTACGAAGCTCACAGGGGAGTTCCTCAGGGATCCACCCTCGGACCTGTGCTCTTTAACCTATCTGTACGCAAATTGCCCTCGGCAGCATCTTCCAGCATGGTGCGCCAGTACGCTGACGATGTCGCCCTGTACCTAGCAGGCCGCAACCTACAACAAACTACCGAAGAACTGGCCCGAGATGTGTGTCGTATCAGGGACTTCCTCAGTGAACGAGGACTAATCCTGAATGCCAGCAAGACCCAGTTCATTGTGTTCCACTCCAGATCGAAAAAAGTATGCTCCTCCCTCCGACTAACCATTGACAATGTCTTAATTCCACCAGCGACCACCGTCAAGTACCTTGGTATGACCTTTGACCAGCACCTGACATTCGCTGACCACATCAGTGCCCTTGAGCGAAAGGTAGGCGACAAGCTAGCTGTGTTTCGTAGAATCCGTGACCGTCTAACAATTGATGCAAAGAGAACCTTCTACTGCGCGTTCATACAGGCTCAACTGGAGTACGGTTCCAATGCTTTTTATCACAGTCTGCAGGCTGGGCAACAAGATCGCTTGACTTGCCTCAGCAACCGTGCAGTTAGAACTGTTTTTGGTTATCCAAGGTTCTGTGACATTTCTACTATTCTAGCCAGATACCACCTAGCTTCTATCTCCTTACGTTTGAGATTCAAATTGTTCGTACTTATTTACAGATCATTACATAAGGTGTGCAGCCCGCTCTTAACAGACTGTTTTGTGACTAGAGTCAATGCCACACACACAGCGTCAATCACCCGCTCGCAGGTTACTCTGTCTCTTGCTCTTCCCCCGGCTAATAACCGCTATGGCTTGTACGCATTAAGCTTCTTAGGTGCAGATCGCTGGAATTCGCTCCCTGCTTCTGTTCGTATTTGCTCCACGCTATCAGACTTCCGCTCATCTATACAAAAACATATAGGGTACCCCGTAAGAAGGCCTTAGGCCTGTGGGAATGCCCTATTAAAAATTTAATAAATAATAATAATAATCCTGCCAGGCAAAATTTCACGTCACGTCGCACGTGTAACTTAACCTCTAAAAATTACACGTAACGTGAGATTTGCACCGCGTTTTGAAAAAGGGCAAAAAACGTGTAACTTGACCTCTCTACCATCTCAACGCGTCCACGTGGGGTATTCCCATGTCAGGCTGGCGCTGGCCTACATGTATAATCCATGGGGCCCTTTGACTGGATGGAAAAGAGTGCACACTTATGGAAATGGACTGTACTACTAGTAGTACTACTAGTAGTAGTAGTACTAGTACTAGTAGTAGTAGTATGTTGTGAGTAGTGAGGTTCAGTGCATGCGTTCTGCAGTTCAAACACACTGCACTGACTCTGTACTATGTAACATTGTTACTGTAGCTGTACACAGCATACATGCACAGTTGCATGCACCCTATGCCAGGCAGCAGGATCACGGTATTATTTGTGCAGGAAGTCAAAAAGGGGAGGATTCTGATTTCATTCAAAGCCAGTTACTGTTTGTATTTTCCTGTACCGGTAGTAGCATTGTGTTGGGTTGATTTGCGGGTATTACTTGATTTCGTCATGGAGGGCATAGCATTGCCGGTGGCCCTCGCTGGCCTGGTTCTGCTGACGTCCGTCGCTAGTGAAGCAAGCTTAGCGCGCGGTAAGATTTCCAAAATATTTATTCGACATCGATTCTTGCGTTGCAGAATTTCGGACTCCACACAATAGAACACGCCGTGCATGTTCAACTCACCTTGATGAATTGAGAAGGAGGTGTCACTGTCAGTGATCTTTTCTTATGCATGAATAATGCTAGTGAGTATCGTAGAAACAAGTCTGCAGTTTGTTTAGTCAGAGACAGCGATAACCAGGGCAGCACTAGAAGAAGACGTAGGGGGTAGGAGTAGTTTATCTACAAGTATTAATTAGGCCATGGTAAAAAATAAAGTTGATTCTTAGGTCATGAGCCTGTGAAAATCGGTGCGAGCGAGCGATTTTTTATTTTATTTCCCACAATTTTTTTAATTTCCAAAGATAGGGTCACACATAATATGTACATGGTCACATGTTCATAATTATATTCAGGCCAGGGAGTAGAAAAATACGGGTATTTTACTACTCCCTGATTCATGCCTTTCGCATTGACCGTTTTCATGCGCGCATATGCATGCATAGAAATAATAATAAATCGTCGGTGCGCCGCCAAAAATCGGTGCGCGCGTACTTGAGAATCAAAGATAATTTTTACCATGGCCTTACATGAAATTTGAAAACGCACAATAGAAGCCGCTGTTGTTCTGTTGTGTTCATTATTTTCAATTCACAAGTACAAACGGGCTGGAAACCCAGCTACATGAGAGCGAATTCAGGGAATAGAAGCTCTCTTAGTTGTGGGCTTGGTTCCACAAACACAGAGATGGGTACAGGTGCGTAACACTGCCGTCACTTTTAGAGGTGGTGCGGGGGTGTCCCCGCGGGAAAATGTTTGAAATTAGGGTGGAAAATCCTGAATTCTGGGCAATTCTGGGCGAAAAAGTGGTCCGGCCGAACCCGGACCGGCTGCAACGCCTCTGGCCGGTAAATACCGTATTTCCTCGATTAATAGACCCGGTCTTTTGTTTTTTGAAGAGGGTTGGACCCCCGGTCTCTTATTTGGGCATGGTCCATTATTTGAGCACGGTCCACTATATTTTCATCGGCACATCGCTGGAAATGGTGACCCCCACCATTTCCAGCGATGTGCCGATGAAAATATAGCAGACCGTGCTCAAATAATGAAAGAAAGCACTAGCCACTACAAAAATTGTAGTTGCGCAACCTAAAATCGCGTTCTTTTTTGATCCACCACGTGCTTTCTTTGTGCGCTTGCGCAAAGCGATGAACTCAAATAAGAGACCGGGTCTCTTATTCGGGCATTGTCTACTATTTTTCCGTGAGGCCTCTAGGAGGGTCTACTATTTGAGCATGGTCTATTATTCGAGCATGGTCCATTAATCGAGGAAATACGGTAGGTCAGAGTGGCGACGTTCTGCTCAACGTTATGGGTGCGCTACGCTGTGAATCCCGGGAGCGCTCTTCGCAATACCGTGAAGTACGTGTACGACTCGTTCATGCAAGAAAATCACGTGGAATGTGTAGTGGGCATTTCCCGTTCCGAATTTGGCAGTTTTCTCACCCAGCTCAAATTTGAGTGATACACACCAGATCTGGGTATTTTCTTTGCGTGTGCTGAAGGGTAGAGAACCTCATGTCTGCGTTGAAATCCCGACACAAAACACGCGAGGCCGTAGACTCTAACCCAGACACCTTGGATTGGATTGGATTGGATTTTTATTTATAGTGGTGACTATAACAGACAATTGCCTAATAACAATAGACCCACTCGAGGGAAAGATGCAAAAAGATATGAATAATTAATATAATAGACTACCGGTATTGGATAGGTGATCATGTTCGCATTTTGCATAGCTGAAAGTCATAATTACTAGCGTGAAAAAGCAAGGCATTGGGGTAACAGTTTCTTAAAACGGGCGGAGTTATCCACACAGCGAGCTAGAGGGTGCAAATCATTCCACAGCTTAGCACATTGGAAGGAAGCGCCACCTGTTCTCTACATTCCACATAGAGCAGAACAATGCTATTGGTACTATGCATTGCTGAGCATGGCTGCAGTCTTTTTGCTGGGCAACCTTCTCCCATATTTAGCAGGTACAGTCAGCTCTAGCACAGCTGTGAGTAGCCTAGGCCTGAACACAGTTCATGACCTTTTGTGCAGGGCTGGTATTGAAGTGGCTCTCTTTTGATCGGTTGGGTGAGTGGTGCTACATCATGGCCATCCGTAGCTTTCATGCCGACTCTTGTGTTCATGCCGCATCGGGGCGTGTATTATGTGTTTCTGTGCAGGCTTTGGCGACCACCTCGATTGGAAAACGCAAGCTGACGGCCTAGCTGAGGCCAAGGAAAGGTGAGTTGGTCAGTTTTGTTGAACAACCTACTTGAAGTACCGTAGTGTCCTGTATTAAGTCCTGTCTCATAGAAGCCTGATTTTCAAGATACACTGTTGGCACATAAACCTGGTTTTAGTGTTGCCATATGTGTGAATACCTGTCTTGTATAGAAGCCTGTCTCATATAGAAGCCTGCTAAGTTTCCTGCACAACGTCATATAAGCCGTGGCTTTTATACACGACTTTATGGTATTTGGTGGCTTCAACTTGTACGGCCCTTGACTCCCTGGAATCAGTACAAGTGTGGGTGGACGTACACATGCACCCAAACAGTGATGCAATCAGAAGTGTTCAAGTTTTGTAATCTGGGGCTGTGGTTAGGAGAATCCTTCAAATAAAGTCTAAATGTAAAAAATGTAAATGTTTACATGAGGCGTTTCAGCCGGGGTCGACTTTCAACCGGCGATGAACACAGACTGACTGAAGCGTTTTTTTTACTTGCCAACATCTAAGCGGTGCGCAACATCCACGACTGCAGCATCATTAAATTTTGTTGGCGGATCTTATGAAAGCTGGAGGGGCTAGCTGCCAATGGCGTAATAACTAATATGAAGAGAGTGGGCATTAGCGAAACACTGCAGATGCTGAGTGAGAGTTGTGTTGATGGCCATGGAAACCTGAAAAATAGAGAAATTCTCAATGTAGGTACAGATTCGGTCTGGAAGAGAGTCAAAGGAAACTCTACTTGTTCTGTCTGTGCTGTGCCACAGTTAGTAGAAGCCATGTGTGATTGAATTCGGCACCTGTGCTTAGTGAAGTGACCGCAGCACCACAAACACCTAGCTCTGCATTTCAAGATGGTCATCACTGGGGCATCACAGGCTACTGTAATTTCACGAATTTTCGGTGTACTTCTATTTTCGGTACTTTCGGTGCGTCTGTTTCATACCTAAAATTTGAATACACCGAACAAACACTAGCACACCTAATCCAATAGGGAACTGCTTCTCTGTACCTACATTTTCTGTTCACACAACCTGGCCTTTTGCCCTCATACCGAAAATATTGAGCACCTAAAATTTCTGAAATTAGAATATCGGGGAGTGGTACGACAGGGGTGGGGGTGTCCCCGGCGCGAAATAAATCCGATTTTTCGGCCAACATGGCATGTTCTGGCGCTCTACATGCGCTCTGGGCGGACCATCCTGGACGAAAAGTGGTACGACCATGGTTGTCCTGATCGTACCGTGTGTGACGCCCCTGCATTATGTCTGAAATTCTTCGGGCATCGCCATGAAACAAGGGTTGTGTCTTTATTTGTTTCCTGTCCTGTTCGTTAGCGGAAAGCCGATAATGATGCTGATCCACAAGTCATGGTGCAGTGCATGTAACGGTGAGTCGTTGTGAAGTATGCTACACATCCGTGTGTGTGTGTGTGTGTGCGTGCATGCGTGTTGTGTGCGTGTGTGTGTGTGTACGTGTGTGACGCCATCGTTTGCTGGAATGACCGTATTTTCCAACGCCCAGCTGCTCGAGTGGTGGGGTGACTCTGCGACTATCGCCACAAAGCTACAACGTCGACGTCTCGAGTGGCTGGGCCATGTCGTCCGCATGAACGACATGCGATTGCCCAAGCAATCACCGTACGGCACCCTGCCATCTTGTCGCCCGGCACATGGCCCACGTTGGCGGTCCAAAGACTGTACTGTGAAGGACCTCCGCTCACGAGACCTTGAAGCGGACTAGTACAGAGTGGACAGAGTGGCCTGTGACTCTCGCCCGGACTGGAGGTTGGCTTACACCTTGGATGCGCTGGATCCCCCCCCCCCCCCCCGTACCACCACCGGTGACTTGCTGCACATGCGCCCGGCATTTCACACGTCAGGGCGACCTTGCCAGGCACAAGTGCACGGCTGAACGGCAAAGGCCGGTTTCGGAGCAGAGAGGTGTATGTCAGTGTCTTCAGTGTCACCGTTGGTTCTGCAGCCACTTTGGCTTGGCTGTGCAGCGTTGCTCTGCTTCTAACTCCTGCCCAGCGCCGATCGCATCAGCTGCTGTTGCCACCGTTGATGCTACCGCTCGGATTTGCTGCAGTGCTCACTGTGACATCTGCAATCGTTGTTTCCGCTCAGCCCAGGGAAGCAAACGACATCTCTGTTCAAGGCACGGCCATCGTCCAACGGCTAGAGAACGGGACAAGTATCTTGCGTATATGTATCTGCTCTCGCCGGTTCCGACCAGTCTTGCATTTGGAGCGCCATCAGGTGGCTTGCTCCTTCTCTGTCTCTGCTGCCCCTCCGGGGGCCGCGTGACCCTAGTGCTAGTGGTTCTACAGGACAGGGCAGGACACGTGTATGTGTGTGTGTCCGTGTGTGTATGTGTGTGTGTGCGCGCGCGCGTGTGTGTGTGTGTGTGTGTGCGTGTACCCGAACCGTGAGAAACAGTGTTGTCATTAGTGTAGCCGAACATGAAACATATGGAACCCTTTCATTCCTACTGTCTATATATCGGTTGCTAGCAGATTATGTACCGTATTTTCCCGAGTATAAGCCACACTTTGAACACTCAAAATTCACACCTGAAAAAGGGGGGTGGGTGTGCGGCTTATACTCCGATGATCAAATTAAAGGTGATAAATGGGATAGATGTCTGTATTTTGTGGCAAAGACATAGGGATGGGGGGGGGGGGGGGTTGGTGCGGCGTATACCCCGGAAACACGGCAGCTGAAACAAGCAGATAAGACGTACCTAGAGCTAGAGGCTTATTCTCCCATGATATTGAAATTGGCAATAGGGTAATGATCGGCAGTGTGGTCGACCTGGGGCGGCCTACAACCTTTCAGTAGCTGCCGGGCTCCGGGCCTGTGTAGTGGAGATCAAACCAAAAGTAGAGACAGTCACTTCATCAGCCTTTCAAGCTTTACCTGTCGTCGGTACCCAAATCCTGCCAATGTACAGTGCTGCTCAATGGAATCCGACTCGAAGTTCACAATCTGCGCCACGCACATTTCGGCCCCTGCGGCCCTGAGCTGTACGCACTAGCAAAGTGCACGCACTCATCATGCCCCCAGCATGTGCAAGTGACGTTTCCGCACGGGGGAACGAAAGCGCGGGAACTGCGACTTAACAACGATAAACAAGTCAAAAAAGGACAAAAATATGAGTTTTCTTTGGACGGCCGGCACTGACTACGAGCGCAGATCAACTAGAGCGCGTGCCATGTGGCTGATGATGTAACCAAGATCATTTCGCGGCGCTGGTTCTGAACTTCGGGTTGCATTTCATGTAGTAGCACTGTACTTATAGGTTAAATAATGTTCCGAATTGTTGTCTGTTGTTTATCGTTTGCAGCGTTGAAGAAGGAGTTCCAGAATCCTAATGATGACATTGACAAACTTTCGAAACACTTTGTGCTTGTGAACTTAGAGGTGAGAGATGTTGTGTGTTGTCAGTAGCTTCCTGAAAACCAGGTCAGTAGAGTACCGTAAAATTCCGTTAAAAGGCTCCGGGCGTATACTTTGCAGAGCGTCAAAAACCGGGCGTATATTTGGGCATGGGCTTATTTTAGGGCATGGGCGTTATTTCGGACGTAATCTGCAGAAGATCGATCTATCAGCAACCCACTAATTTCAGTGAACCACCATTCACACTGAGCGCGGTACAGGTACATCAAACCACAGCTGGAAATGGGTCGTAACCAAGAAAGTAGCGATAAATTATGGATTTGATACCGGGTAAACCACTTGCTATGGTAAGGACAAGGCTGCGTGCAGTTGGATGGCACGCACTCGATCTACAACAGTTACTGTTCTACAGTTTGTACGCGCACGCACACTCGCGCGCTGGTCATTTTGACTCCACTTTACGCCCTGGGCTTATTTCGGGCATGGGCGCTAAAACGGACTAGTTGTGTACACCGCCTAAAACTGGGCTTATTATCGGACATGGGCGTTATTTAGGGTGGGCTTATTTACAGAATTTTACGGTACTGTACCTGGTTGAGAGGGTGTGTGGGCCCCGTTGAGCGGGTGCATTGACCCGGTTGATAGGGTGTGTAGACCTGGTTGAGAGGGTGCGTTAATCCGGTTTGAGAGGGTGTGTAGACCCGGTTGATGGGGCGTGGAGCCGGTTGAGAGGGTGTGTTGAACCAGTTGAGAGGGTGTGTGGAGCCGGGTTAGAGGGTGTGTTGACCTGGTTGATAGGGTGAGTTGACCCGGTTGAGAGGGTGTGTGGACCCGGTATAGAGTTGACTCGGTTGATAGGGTGCGTTGACCCGGTATAGAGAGTGTGTGGAGCCGGTTCAGAGCGTGCGTTGACCCAGTTGATAGGATGCGTTGACCCGATTGAGTGGGTTTGTGGACCCGGTTGTGTGGGTTTGTGGACCCGGTTGAGAGGGTTTGTAGACCCGGTTGAGAGGGTGTGTTGACCCGGTTGAGAGGGTGCGTTGACCCGGTTGAGAGAATGTGTGGACCCGGGTGAGTGGGTTTGTGGACCCGATTGAGAGGGTGCGTTGACCCAGTTGAGAGAGTGTGTGGACCCGGTTGAGTGGGTTTGTGGTCCCAGTTGAGTGGGTTTGTGAGCCCGGTATAGAGAATGTGTGGACCCAGCAGGGAAGGTTTGTGGGCCCGGTGGAAAGAAATCAGGCCTGTTGAAACTTGAAACTGACCTGATTGAGATAGGGGGTACTTGATCTGTACCAGCCTTTGTTCACCTAAGCAAATCTGGCGTACAGCCCACAGGGGGCATCGGCCCCCTCCCCTCCCCCCCCCCCCCCCCCCCAATTTTGACCTAGGTTCAGCATCCAAATTATGGCCATGAATGACATGCCATCCTACAAATCCGGGCCATGCACCCCCCCCCCCCAAAAAAAAAGGGCGACCAGTTTTGTACTTTTTTGTATTTTGTATTTGTATTTATGGATTCTCCACAGGCCTTAACCTAAATCGAGGGAGTCTCCGTTACACCCCAGCTCAGCGGTACTAGGTGCAGTACCCCACGTGCATTTTCATGATCGAACCCCCCCCCCCCCCCCCCCCCCACCACGCACACCCCCATCTCATTCCTCTGAGTCTCCTTTTCCTGTCCAGGATGATGAAGAGCCGCGCGAGGAGAAATATGGTCCTGACGGCAAATACATTCCTCGCATTCTTTTCCTCCGTGAGTGATGCTCAACTCCAATTTTTGGCTTTCTTGTGCAGAAAAACCTGTGTTTGCTGTACCCTATATGGAGCGAAACCCTGTAGTGGCCGAACAAGTTGTCATGCACCGAAGTGCTGTGGACTGAGCGTGCATACCGGGATCAAGCGGTATCCTGTCATATTAGGACAGTTTCCGCTGCACCAGTGGCGTCCGAATATAGCTGATTCTATAATACCTTATCTCATCTTTCTTGAGAAATCTTGCCGGTTTGCATCAAGGTATCTGACTTTGTGCGAAGCTCTCAGTATTTTCATTATTATTATTATTGCAAATAACGCTGAGTAATTACACAATGTATAAAACCAGCATTTGCCAAACGGAAGGAAGAATGAGGAACGAGTGGGAATGAGGTGCTTATACGCATGCATCTGCAGAATAGGCGAAACAGAAAATATCAAAACAGTCCTAAAAAATAAAGGGTCAGCAATTTACTTCAACAAATAAAACTCGAAAAACTGCTGAGTACTGTGCTGTAATAATGTATTTTCATACAGGGTGAAACCTGTGTGGTGGTGTTCTAGTGGCTAGACTTCATAGTATTTGGGGCTGGCCAGTTACATTGATTGGGCTTTAACGGTGAGATGTAAACAGCTTGCTGTCCGTAGAGCTGAGTAACAGTGATGTATGTGTACGAGTTTGCTCTTATTGGTGTGTGTGTGTGTGTGTGTGTGTGTGTGGGTGTGTGTGTGTGTGCGTGTGTGTGTGCATGTGTGCGTGTTTGTGTGTGTGTGTGTGCGCGCGCGTGCGTGTGTGTGTGGGGTTTAATAGCCAATTGAGTCATCTTTCCGAGTTTCTTTTGAGTCTCTCTCCCCTCTGACCCACGTGACCAGTTTTGGCAGTGAGCAACAAGTACAAGTATGTGCGTGCGTGTGCATGTACTTCGAAGTACGTTTATGTGTGCGTGCGTGTTTGTGTATGTTTTGCTCACAGATAGTGATGGTGAGCCAGATGTGGACATTCAAAATGTAGAAGGCAACCCAAACTACGTTTACTTCTACTCCCAAGCCAGTGAAGGTCAGTTTCCACCTGGCATATTGTCTATCTCTGTCTCTCTCTCTCTCTCTCTCTCTCTCTCTCTCTCTCTCTCTCTCTCTCTCTCTCTCTCTCTCTCTCTCTCCCCCCCTCCTTCTTTCTCTTATGGAACAATCACTGAATTGTAGAAGCTTACCAGTCTACCATGTGGAAAGTTCCAGCAGCTTCTCGTGTGCTCTTCACGGCAGACCCGAACTAGGCTTGGCCTAGTGAAGTCAGTAGGTAGTGTTAGCTGCCAGCATCAAATCTCCTCTTGGTTGGTTTGTTGGTTGTGTTCATTTGAGTTCACAAACCGAACGGACTGAAGATATCCAATGACAAGGAAGCGAAAGAGGTCCAAGTAACCCAGGCATGGGAAAACTTGGAAAGGAGACACAGACGAAAAGAAAGTATGGAATCTCTCCTCTTCAAGGACATCCAGAATTTTCCTGGCATGGTTGCATTACCACCCTCTTTCATCAGGTCTAATCCATGGTCATGGTCAAGCCCTCAGATAATCAAAAAAACAAAATACTGTTGGAGAGCCGTCTATATTGTCTCCTTTCAACTGGATACTATTAAATTTCTCTTGCCGTGCGCCTGTGTTCATGACATGTGTCTGCTGCGTCTTCCTTTGTTCACTACTCTCTGCAGTGACTGCATCCATGAAGGAGGCGCTGCGGAAAATGCCACCAAAGGACTACAGCCCCCACACAACCGAGCTGTGAGGACACACGAGCCGGCCGAGCCATGGAGTTGTCCAACCTCTGCGTCTTATTATCACGGGACTGGGGTTGGTTGAAGCTACTGTTGTCCTTCATTGTACATAACTATCACCTTCGAAGCATGGACGTGATAAATATTGTATAGTGTTTTCGTTAATTTATCTAGGGAAATTCTACCTGCTGTGTTCTATGGAATACTTTGATGCGTGCATTTCTTTCCAGTTTCAAATCTGTTGAAATTGAATCCTTCAGATTTATCAAATCGGAGTACTTTCGGATTTAACTAAGCCCATGACGTTCATGTGTGTGTGTGTGTTTGTGTGTGCGTGCGTATGTGTGTATTGTGAAGGGGACTATTTGGTGTGTATCAGAGGGGGGGGGGGGGAGTACATTTGTGGATGTAAGACATGTGTGATAACCTCGAACTATCAAACCCAAGCGCGGCCCAGACCAACAAGCCGTGTGCAAGCAAGCCGTGCTATGGTATGGCGTGTGTCATCGCCGGGTCAACGGCTCCAAGGTCTACTTGTCCAAAGGTGGAATACTAGTGTTCAGAAATCAAGTTCTGGGTCAAGTAATTGGATTTCTTCTGTCTTTGTGGTCCACTTTTACAACAATAACACATACATGTACATACACACACACATACACCTCTGCCCTTGACCTTGACATTTTGACACTCATCGGCAGAGCCGCTGATAGCGATGCTACGGCAGAAGCCGTGGCAACTTGTGCTGGGATGGCACCATTCGACAGCTAATACTTGAAAGGCTGAAGAATCATTGACCATCACTATTCAGCGTGGTCTACACTGCACAGCAAGAGTATAATAATTATTCCCGTAGCTATGCAGAAGACGTTACTTCAGTAACGTCTGGCGCTAGCCAGGGTCCACACAGCTTTAATTTGGTGTTTGTTTGTTTGTTTGTTTGTTTGTTTGTTTGTGTCACGCCTGGCGCTATCCCGTATCTGTCCCGTACTGTACCGTACCAGCAAAGACAGCTGGCCACAATGTTTTTGTTTGTTTGTGCCATTGACATGCCTGGCGCTATCCCGTACCTGTCCCGTACCATCAAGAGTACGGTACCATAAAGAGAATGAGTACTAGTATATATGCGAAGTGTATCGGGGGATTGCATTCAGTGCAGTAACATTTTGTGTGGATTTGTGTGCGAGGCCGAGATCCCACTAGCAGGCAGGCTGGGCCGCCTGTCGACCAGCCCGGGAATCGCATGTAGGCCGATAGCATAATAGTTACAACGTATATACAGTCATGTAGATGTATAGCAGGGTTGTCATATTATGTAAACGACTCCCTGCTGTATGAGGAGATTTTCTGGAAAGAAATACGAAGTAGGGAGACGAGTGAATGCAATCAGAATGGATGTTAGTTGCCGTCAGTATAATAAGAAGAAGAACGCCCGTGATCGGCAGAGTCAGCGCCGGTCCCAGGAAACGTCAGGACAGACATCCCGTCGACTCCAGAACGCCCGTGATCGGCAGAGTCAGCGCCGGTCCTATAGCTATGCAGAAGACGTTACTTAAGTATCTCATTGAACCGTTTTTGCAATACAATGATGCACCCAATCAAAGGAAAAAGCTTTTCCATCAGTTCTGACAACATACACGATGAGCTAGGCAACAAAGCATAGCGCAGGGCCCTGAGCTTTCAAGCTCTCTCGTTATTATGAACCCCCTTTGAAGTGGGCAACTCTGCATAGCAGTTATGGGGTCTCCGACGACTGAGAAAACTCACATCATGTGTCTCACTACGTACTACAGTGCTGGCAACTGAAATCCGACCCCCCCCCCCCCCCCTAGCGTCTCGTACGAATCGCTAGCGCACCGCTAGGGGGGGGGGGTCGGATTTCAGTTGCCAGCACTGTACGTTCAACTAAGGATTTTTTTTTTTTTTAACTAAGGATAGCGTGCGCGCAATCCGAAAATCTGCCATGATTATGCTGGCGAGTTGCATACGCGCAGTGAGTTTCTGCCAGGGAGTACTTTTATTATTACTCCGCTGCTCGCTAGAAACGGGCTGGAAACGTACAACTGGGACACTGCACCACGTGATGTGAGTTTTTGCCGTTGGCGAACCCCATACTCCATAGAAAGGGTACGGGTGTCAGGAGTATGTATTTGTGCAGGCGTTGTGGCCGGAAGTTTTCACGGGTATCAGGAGTTGCACACTTTTTAGTTGGGCTGAAACGATTATACCGAATACTAGTAATCGAGTACTCGTTTGATAACTCTAACGATCGAGCAATCGTTTAGATTACCGATTTACAATTACTTTGCGTCTTTTTAATTTTTAATTTCTTATACGCGCAGTGCATGCAGCGCAGAGCCCCCCCCCCCCCCCCGGTACGAAGTGATTTGGCAATTTTTTTAACATTTGGCATTTTTAACAAATGTGTAAAATGTGCTTTTCTTCTGCCTGTTTCTCTGCTCCGGATGGCTGTCTCGAAACATGGGTGGTGGCAAATGAGAGCCAGTTTATCGTAGATCAACATTGAACATTTGGTGAATACAATTTAATTCTCCCTGCCACGTGGGTATAACTAGTGGTGGGTGCTTTGCCATTATTTTGGTGTAAAATGTGTAAAATAATCCCCTGAATGGACGAGGAGGGCAGTGAGTTGCTTCCGCAGGGCTTTTGGACGACGTCAGGCCGTCTTGCCATCACTAAACTCTAAAGACAAGAATGAAGAACAGTAGGTAAAGGAATACACTCTGAGAGAACGAAAACATGGCTGCAATGCAATGCTACCTATCCAATTCTACCGTATGACACGGCCACTAGTTACAAATACAAAAACACGGCTTTCGCAGCATACAATGCAGTTGACAGATTAATTTTTCATCCACTAGCAATCCTCGAAGTGATATCTATCAACTTCAGAACATTGATGACCGAATATCCCAGTTTGTGATGCCATTTTACAAATTTGTTAAAAAATGACACACCAATTATTCGAATCCTGAGAATACTATGAAAGTAGGACATGATTCAAGACACTTCCCAAAGTGGGATCATTCCCATTTTTTGAGACAACGGGCATGAAGGATAGCACTTTCACTTGCAACAATTCATTTGGCCGTAGCTTGCCTATAGGCTAGCGCCTACAGTCCATTTCAAAACTATACGCGTGAACTCATACGTACGAGCCGTACGTACTGTAGCGCACGACAGCCGTGAGTTTTGCATGAGTGTTTTCTGGTTTTCAGATGTGTTTTTCAGGTTTTTCAGGTTTTTCTTCGTCGCCGCGGGAAATACAAAAGATGCAAAACACGCAAAGTCGCAAATGAAAAGGTGTGGGGAAAGTCTCAAAAGAAATGAAAGTCTCAAATGAATCTTCTTCTTGTTTGCATTTTCTGAGTGCCTGACTGTAATGGCTTCCAAGGCCCGTAAGAATCTCAGTGATGCCGAGAAAGATATGATTAGTCGTGTTCATTGTTTCTTCGAACAAGAGCTGGATTTTGATTGACGCTTGAGTATCCGAAATCCTCGTCGTCGAACTCACCTTGCAACTGGCGTGAGTGAAACCACTGTCACTCGTTGTGTCAGGCGAAGGGAACAGGGAGGCTCAAATCAAATCAAAAAGAGAAAATATAATTATCATCTCTACTGTATTTCACCCAACAAGATCCAAAACATGCAGAAAAGAAGAGAAAAAAGGCAGGAGGCGTGATGGGATTCGAATGCCCCACACTTGTACTGGAAATCACGGATCGAAACCACGAGGCTACCAGGACCCGTACAAAAATGCACCCGCGATGGTCTGGCAGCACTGTCTCAGCAGGAGCAAAAATCCTAAACAAACTGGTCAAACCCTTAAAACAAACTGGTCAAACCCTTCAAAACAGAAATTACATGTAAAACCGGAAAACCTGGCCTAAAAATAAACTTCAATTGTAGCGAAAACAAAGTATATAGCCAGAATTGTGAAGCGATGCAGAGACGGAATCTGGAGAAAAAACTAAAAATATTTAAATAAATCCCATCGAATTTTGCAAAACACTACGCGTCTATAGTTTTGAAATGCACTGCAGAAGTGGCTGAAAAAACGTCATTAACCATGCCTAATCACCTCGTAGTACACAGTCACAGGTGACAGGACGAAATACTACACACTGCACGCGCGACTCGCCTTGTAACCATGGTAATATGCTGTCAAAATCGAAAAACAGACCTAAAAAAGTACAAGTAAGTTACAAGTACAACTACACAACTGTAGTACACGTGTAGTGTAGATCTACAGTAGGGAGGTTTAGTCCCACGTAATCCGTGGGTACTTTACGTGTGTGTATCACGTGATACTCAGTGACCCACGTACAGACGTTTTCTGAATCACGACATACCGTGTATGGAGGCTCACCCACGTTCCGCCAGAACGTGGGTGAAAATCAGAATTGAGTGCATTGTGCAAGCTGTGAGGGTGCTCAGCTGAAGAAGTTTCCGAAGTACGAAATCAAAATACTGGATGAGCTTCTTAAGCTTAGGCCCGGGTAGCTTCGTCTTTGACCAGGTTTGGGCCTTTCGCTTCATGATTTTGTTTGTTCCGTGTGACTAAACACAACATTGCAACGTGGGTGCCCTTCATCCACTTTACGTGGATCACCCACGTACGCGTTTCCGTTACGTGGGAACTAAACCTCCCTAATACAGCGAAGCTGGACCATGAAGCTCGCGAAGGTCAAGGTCGCTTCCGGTCTACACACATGTACAGAACACTTTTTTGTGCAACATGTTGTACATATTTCCACTTTTGGCCATTCGATTCCACGTACATATTCCAGGTGCGGCTTCTTCTTCCTTTCAATTATTTAATATTATTTATTTTTTTATCTGGTTCGAGTCCTGGTGGTGACAGTCAATTTTTTCTTCAGACTTTTCCCGTTTGTCTCATTCCCTCAAAACCAGTTAATATTAATTTTTTTTATTAGTATTATTATAGGCTTTTCCGCGTTGGCATCGCCAAGCAAGCTTGAGTCCTACAAGTAACCTAGTCTTGGGTGCTTTGGCTGCCGAGCGCTCAAGCTTGCAAGGAGATCTTTCTGCTTTTCGTCATCAAGAGGTTTGCACCCCGCTATTAGCCATGGTACAGTGTTTTGCTGCTGAGTGTAATCACCAGCACTTGAGAGATAGGTGTTCCTATTTTCGTTTTCCCGTGGACAAGGAGAAGCGAGCCCATTGGGTAAAGATGTGTCGGTAAGTAAACAAAAATTATGAAGTTTGAGTAATTTATAGGAAGTTTGAATTTTGAAACACTGATGCTCGTATGCTGTGTCTAGATAATAGGGACCTTTCGCATTTGCTACGAATCGAATGCGAAACGAAAGCTTGATCCGGTTCGTAATCGTTTCGTTGAAAACAGATTTAGTTTTCGCAAGTCGTCATGCAAATGTGCATGGCAACTACGAATAGGGCTCGAAAGTGCTATGTCACAGCGCATAGCAACAATTTCAAAAATTCAAAAACTGGACCCACTTGGATCCAGTTTTGTATGGATCCAAGTGAAATAGGTAGCCGAGTGGTATCAGGAGGCACACACAAGAAGACTGACTAATATTATGTTCTTCGGCTCAATCTGCCTGAAGTTATGTATACAACTGCTCCGGCTCAATCTGCCTGGAGAGACTCTCTTCTCTTCTGCTCTATTCTGTTCTGTTCTGAAGAAATGAGTAAAGCATGGCAGCTTTTATAGGGCGAAAAGGAAGGAGATCATCATAGAGTCTGCATGAGCCATGAGTCATGAAAAAGGGCAGAAGTCTGTTGTGTTAGTCCAAAGAGAACTTGGGAAGGCATAGCAACCGTGTCTAAATGTATAAGGATGAAAGAAGCAAACGGAACTTTGGGGGAGAACAGAGGCCAGGGAGGGCATTAGCAAATGGCTGCAAACAGGATCTAGAAAGTGTCATGACTGTCCGCATGACCTCAGTCTAGTCAGGGTCAGGGAGGTACAGTACAACATGTGGGTGTTAGTTCTACATGTACATACAGGTGTGATGATCTAAACTAGCAAAGATATGACTTGCAGTATGCAATCCAGCAGGCGCAAGAGAAACACAAAATATATTAATGGTGAGAAGTGATAGCTTTGCAGGCTTGTCAGCAAAGGAGTGACAAGAGTCATGCTGTACGTGTACGTGTACATGTATGTGACTGGTGTAATATGCCCGAAACTTTGCCGAAAATGCTTTTGGGAAATTCTCGTAAACCTTGCCGAAAATGCTCGGAAAATGCTCACTTTTTTGTAATCCTCAGCACACGCCGTCAAAAGACTCAAAACCAGGGAGTCAGAAAATACCCGTATTTTACGACACCCTGGTCAAAACCATTATTTTCAATTCATAAACTACTCAACAAGAAGCTAACCCACGGAATACGGAAGTGACGTTCTTGTTTGGGAAGTTTTTCTTCTCTCAATTTTGATACACAACGGCCAAGGGCTCCGTTTCCCCCAAAATGCTGCATCAGGAGCCCAAAGTGCTGGGTTCGCGGATTGTACCGAAAATGCTCCAAAAAATGCCGGCATATTACACGGGGGCCTACATGTGACATGATTAGAGGTCAGTAGATGTAGATTGTAATAGTCAGCTACAGTTCAGTACTAGCAAGGCAGGGATACTACACAAGCACATTTCAAGCGGTCTTACTCACAGCAAGGTGATGTAGCCAGTGAAACTGACTGATTTGGGTGGGGTGACACCTGGTGGCGAAGTAAAAGTCACACATGCATACGACATGAGTGGGTTGCTATGCACCCACATACTATCAAAGTCACACCTTAGTGGATCCAAAATAGAAATCTGATGTCAACTTACTACTCCCAGGCCGTTTTTGACGTCGTTATCACTTTCAATCCCTATACGGCCAGTACGGCAGTAGCTTGGCGCAGAATCTACGGGTACCGGGTACACACACACGTGCATGGATCATGGAATCAAGGGAAAAAATGTGTACCTAGTACCTGGCAAAACATGTGTAGCTGGCCAAATAAATGTGTACCTGCCGGATTCGGAGTGCGCCACGAATGAAGAGGGGGGTTCCATCCTAGAAAACGAGCTCTCCGCAGGGACTCTGAGTAGGCATCGGCGGCTAATGCTAGCATTATAACTAGCATTATATGGGTGTTTTGAAGAAGTAGCAGTGCTCGGCATTAGGTGGCATGTTTTTGGCTGGAGAAAGCATTATCAGTTCTATTTTGGTACAATACAAGACTTTTTACACGTCTTTTCACATGACAAGAGGCTTGTACAGACAGTGTACCGACACTCTTGCAGCAGGTACATGTATGATGTATCTGTCTAGTGTGGTCATGCATATACAATTACACTTCCTTATCTCAGTATGAGCCAATTGTGGATACATTTCTTTTCCATGTGCATATTTGCCCAAGATAGCTCGAAAATGTACATATCACTCTAGCATTATAGTGTGAATGGAGCATTATAACAGGCATTATGCCGTGAAATATCGAGCACTGCCAAAAGCATTATACTGTGAAAAAACGAGCATTAGCCGCCGATGCTCTGACGAATCCTCGAACCCAGGTGACGAATCAGCATTCGTTTCGTATCCGTACGCGTGGTGCGAAAGGTCCCTAAGGCCTAATGATTGACGGACTCACCGAGATAGTGGGGATTTGATGACTGTCAGTGGCCGCTTGTTTCGTAGCAGCATGATGAGTTCTTTCTGTTGTAAGTGGTGTGAAGGGTTTTGTAGTTTTTGGCGAATGCGTCTCATCACTTACTGTAAAGCGATAATGTTTTTGCGGTGTGCAAAGTCCGCGTTTTCAAGAATTGTGCTCGTTCACGACGAGAAACCTTTGCGATTTTATCTCTTCATTTGGATCTTGTGCTGTCTACAGTCAATGTACAGAGCAGTGTGCGACGATTTATATTAATTTTGCGAATGTGCGATGGTCGCGAAAATAGCGAAATATAATCTCTAGCGAAAATGTCTTTCTTTACAGTATCGTTTGAGTTTTATAAAAATAAAATAATCAGACAGCCTATCAGTATCGTAAATACTGGTGTTGTGACTGTGTTGTGGTGTGCAGGCGGAAGGATAGACTGGCGGGTAAATTCGATCGCCTCTGCAGTTGCCATTTCAAGGATGGAGTGAAGGGGAATGGCCCTACCATATTTCCAATAAAGGTTGACAAGCTCTTCGATTTTCCTGACCAAGGAAGAAAGTCAGCAAGAAGAAAATTGTAAGTTTTGATGAATTCAACAATGTGTAAAATGGCAATAAATAAGATAAATTGTGCACTCATAACAACAGGAAAAAATGAAAGTCAAGTTCCATAACGTTTCTCACATACACTATATTCACACATTGCAAAGGTGCAAACTTCGCTTTTTGTACTTGCTGGCTGCTATATTTCTACCTGAAACCATAATTATTAGCTACATGTATATAAGTGTGTGTTTTAGTTATTACATTTTTATGTGACGGCGTTCCACTGATGACAGTCACAAGAAAACGTTATGGAACTTGACTTTCTTCATTTTTTTGCTGTTGTTATGAGTGCACAATTTATCTTATTTATTGCCGTTTTACGACTATTGGCTCCTCGTCGATTGTTCAACAACGTGTGTTCAGGATACTTACTTCTAGTAATCAGTATATATGTTGTGAGCTTGGCACTGTATCGTGGATTAGGATGTGGAGAATATCTCAATGTACTGAGTAATTTTCTCTTCTCCTCCTGTGTTTCAATCTAAAGTCGCAAGGTTGTGGAAGATGATGTCGAGCAGACTCCAATTTCAGAACGTACGGCGGCACTGCCAGCTACAGATGCACCGTCACCCCCTACGGATGATGCTACCAAGTCCGACATCTGACCTCAGTCTCTTGAAATCGATGTATCGACCGCGGTCATGCTGTTTGCTCATACCTATGCCACTTTTTTTGGATGCTGCCGCCTGAAGAATAAATTAATTTTGGTTTCTCTCGCTTGTCATCAGCACACTCATGGCTCATGCTGCACAGCATTCAATGGCAACCCGACTGTTGCAAATTTATGTTACAACTATGATTTACGCATGTCGTTGTATTTGGTTCTTGTCTGGTGGAGTCCAATGTCTGGTGTCATATACATGTATGGTCTAGGTGTACGCGCGAGTATGGTGTGATGTGTGACGTTTATGGTATGTGGTGCATGCAAGAGTACGCGTTGTCAGAGTGTGAGGATGCGCTTCCGTCTGTGTGAGAGTGACTGTCAAGTGAATGCTGTACATGCGCAGTGCTAGTTTGGTCTGGGAATGAGAGTCGTGTGTGATTCGTCCGTGGTCTGGTTGTCTTGGTCTTGGTCATGTGTTCTGTACGTATTAGTCCCTGATTGGTCGTCTCGATTTGTCGTCGCAATATTACTGCTTGTTCTTGTTATTTTCTTGGAGTCTTTTCCCGTCGTCGTTTTCTGTCTAGTCTTTTCGTCTTTTCGTCTTTCTCCTTCTGTGCCCTTTCCGTTTGTATAAGAAGTCAGAAACTCCACCAAGTTGTTTGAGCTGTTGTGTGACAGGGGCCAGGGGGAGAAGGCAATACCATTTCTACTTCACGACCATTTAGTACGAAAATGTTGCGGTTTTTGGGCGTGCTTTTAAATACATGTTTGCGTGATACAGTGCTGGGTATTGAAATTATTACTGCCTACTACTACCGCCCCCGGCCCTAGTAAATTGACTTTGCTTTGCTGCTGAACGCATGGTACCATTTCCTCTTCTGACAGGTGCATGTCATTGCTACATTGAAGAAACACAGATGATTCAGTTTGAAACTGTCTCATGGCCAAGACAAAAGAACTCCACAACTCTGAACACAATCCAGTGAATATAGGTTACATCATTTGGGATCACACTCGGGCACGTATAGGTGGTGTTGTAAACTCCTCTGCAGAAATACATCATCCAACAAAGGCTCGATGAGAACAAAAACATTGGAATAATGGCGCACAGCAAGGCAACCATATCCACACAGCATGCCTTCTCGCATGTATTGAAACGATTAAAGGCCACGCACAAGTACGCCACACCACCATGCACTATGCCCGTCACGAGAGAAGCACACGTACACAACTCTGCATATACAGCACCACACACCCACAGACACTGACGAGGAGACTGCCTCCCCCTCGATGAAACGGCACATCGGGATACCGACACGTGCAGAGTGTTACAGCAGAGCTCAGCTTACATAAAATGCAGAGAAAGAAGGAGAGAAACGGCAGCATCACTGTCTCTGTTTGTAGGAATAATAAAAGACCTCCAAAGAAAGATATATCTAAAGTAGTGATGGCAAGAAGTGCTGCTTACTGAAAGAGACTAGCTTGTCTATGTTGTCTTGTCAAGCCTTATCTCGCTCAACTCTTTATGATAAGAGTCTCGCTCGGTGACCAGGCAACCAAGTCACGTAATCGTCGATCTGTGAAACAAGCTGGCATGCTCTCCTGGGCCATGTCCAGCGGTGGAATTCTGGATCCATGACATGTCTCATGCGACTACCTCATGGAGCAAGAAGATCCAGGTGTGCGTCACATTGCTGATGGTGTTGTCGGATACAGCAAACGGTACTCCGAGATCAATATTGGAGAAGCCGCAGTACAGCTTCATCAACGTCAGGAACAGCTAGTCGGTGTGGCTGAGGACTTTCACCTGCCATCCACTGTGGTAGCGAAATGGTACGAAGCGCTGACAAACATCCAGAAGCGTAGAGAAATGCCCAGGTGAAGGTAGGCCAGTATAACGTTGCACAAGGTACTCATTGTCAGAAATCTCGTCAAAATGAAAACTACCTGGCATCCTTTGTCAGCTTCTTCTCTAGTCTCGTGCACCTCTCCCTTAGGTTTGTGCATTTGGACGACTGGAGCACGTTGTCAATGGCCAAATATCTATGCTACTGAACAGCAGAGGGAGTAGGAGGTTTACTTGCTTGTCTTACAGGTTCAGGCTGAGGATCTACATCTACATCACAAGGCACTGGATCATCATGGCTATAGTATAGACGCGGTTCATCAGCTGCCGTCTGCTTTCTTTTCCTGCACCAGCAAGAAAAGCACAGTACACACATACACAAATCAGTGCAACAAGTAGTTGTCCAGTAACATGATTGTGTTCAGGTATTGACTAGCAGTGCCTACAAGCCCATCTCTCTCTAACATGCTCGACTGTATCGCACGTGCCTGTGTGTTTCGAATCCCGTCTCTAACATGCCCAGCCGTGTCGCGCGTATTCTTCGTAAACTGCCGTACATATTTGGATTGAGATCCCCTGCTCCATCACGTTGGGCAATGCTGGCGGAAGCTAAGAAAAAGTGGTGAAAAGTGCTTTGTTTTCCCAAAATGCGAATCAGAAAACTCAGACCAAGAAAACTGTAGATGTGAGAGGGAGAGAGGGAGAGAGAGAGATTGATGATGATGGAGGAAGCTACAAGCACCAGCACGCCGGTACAGCAGCCAAAGTCCTCTCTGCAGGCATCGCAGGCATCGCATCCGCCATCATCGCTGTCACCGCCTGCCTCATTGCTGTCAACACCACCCACACCGTATTCTGATCGCGGTTCAACTGGCTACATCAACGCAAACCCCTGACTCATCACACCCTGCTCCATCACGTTGGGCAATGCTGGCGGAAGCTAAGAAATCGTGGTGAAAAGTGCTTTGTTTTCCCAAAATACAAATGAGAAAACTCAGACCAAGAAAACTGTAGATGTGAGAGGTAGAGAGAGAGAGATTGATGATTATGGAGGAAGCTACAAGCACCAGCACGCCGGTACAGCAGCCAAAGTCCTCTCTGCAGGCATCGCATCCGCCATCATCGCTGTCACCGCCTGCCTCATTGCTGTCAACACCACCCACACCGCATTCGTAAACTGCCGTACATGTTCGGATCGCGATCCCCTGCTCCATCACGTTGGGCAATGCTGGCGGAAGCTAAGAAAAAGTGGTGAAAAGTGCTTTGTTTTCCCAAAATACAAATGAGAAAACTCAGACCAAGAAAACTGTAGATGTGAGAGGTAGAGAGAGAGAGATTGATGATTATGGAGGAAGCTACAAGCACCAGCACGCCGGTACAGCAGCCAAAGTCCTCTCTGCAGGCATCGCATCCGCCATCATCGCTGTCACCGCCTGCTTCATTGCTGTCAACACCACCCACACCGCATTCGTAAATTGCCGTACATGTTCGGATCGTGATCCCCTGCTCCATCACGTTGGGCAATGCTGGCGGAAGCTAAGAAGAAGTGGTGAAAAGTGCTTTGTTTTCCCAAAATGCGAATCAGAAAACTCAGACCAAGAAAACTGTAGATGTGAGAGAGAGAGAGAGAGATTGATGATTATGGAGGAAGCTGCAAGCGCCAGCACACCGGTACAGCAGCCAAAGCCCTCTCTGCAGGCATCGCATCCGCCATCATCGCTGTCACCGCCTGCTTCATTGCTGTCAACACCACCCACACCGCATTCGTAAACTGCCGTACAGGTTCGGATCGCGATCCCCTGCTCCATCACGTTGGGCAATGCTGGCGGAAGCTAAGAAAAAGTGGTGAAAAGTGCTTTGTTTTCCCAATGCAAATCAGAAAACTCAGACCAAGAAAACTGTAGATGTGAGAGGGAGAGAGAAAGAGAAAGAGAGAGATTGATGATGATGATGATGATGATGATGGAGGACGCTACAAGCGCCAGCACGCCGGTACAGCAGCCAACGTCCTCTCTGCAGGCATTGCAGGCATCGCATTCGCCATCATCGCTGTCACCGCCTGCCTCATTGCTGTCAACACCACCCACACCGCATTCACCACCTACACCGTATTCTGATCGCGGTTCAACTGGCTACATCCACGCAAACCCCCGACTGGTAACACCGTACCTCACGCAACATAGCATATTACCTAGCAGTCAGGTTGCCTACAGGAAAATGCACTCTACCGAAGATGCATTAGTTCTAGCCGCCAACCGTTGGCTGATGGCCCAACAAGAACGTAAATACACGGGCATTGTGATGGTTGACATGTCAAAAGCGTTTGACCGTGTCCAACATCAACGTCTGATTGATAAATTATTCACCCTGGGAGTCAATGGCAGAGTATTGTTATGGTTGGCTAGCTATCTGTCTGGTCGTTCTCAGCGTGTCAAGTTGTGTGAGGCTCTCTCTGATGCAGTCCCATGCTCAAGAGGTGTGCCCCAAGGCAGTGTTCTTCGGCCGCTTCTCTTTGTCCTTTACACGAGTGACATTTCCGACGTCATACCTTGCATTGTTGTTTATCAGGAGTTCGCGGACGACATCATCCTAGATTTTTCTGATTCAGATCTGGACACTGTTTGCAAGACTTTGACTACGGCTGTGACACGTCTGTCCGACTGGCTCTCCGAAATTGGGCTTCTGTTGAATACCGGCAAAACCCAAGTCATGGTAATTCAACCCAAGTCATGGTAATTCAACCCAAGTCATGGTAATTCAACCCAAGTCATGGTAATTCAACCTCGGGGACTCACTGGCAACATACCAGTCGTTAAATGTAAGGATCAAGCCTTAACTGTTACCTCCACTGCCAAATATCTTGGCGTAACCATTGATGACCAGCTATCCTGGCAGCCACATGTCTCTTAGTGTTGTGCAGAAGGCATCAGTCGCCATCAGCCAGCTATGGCGCCATGGGCGATCTCTGCCCATAAGAACCCGCAGACTTCGGTACATTGGCATTAAGCAAGCACAACTAACGTACGCATCCAATGCATTCTTCCCGTCGTTGATATAGCAGCTGCGGAGTCGTTAAATCGAATCCAGCAAATCCGGAATTCGTGCAATTTTCCGACTTTCCAGCCGTGCATCCATAGCCCCCCTCCTCGTGAGCTTATCTATTCGATCTCTAACTCACATTTTTCACTACAAGGTTTTGTTTTTTGTTTTCCGTTGCCTGCATGATCATGCAAGTCCTCTTTTCTGCACCTACTTTCAGTTCACGGCCAATCCCGGGATGATCGCCGAATTACTCGAGGACAGGAACAGCGGCTACTGCAAGTGCCTTTCCTTTCTGGACCTTCCGGTCGTCAGTCATTGACATTTGTGGGAAGCACACTTTGGAATGCCCTTCCCAGTGATATTCGCCTCCACAGTGCGGCTTTTGCCTTTATACTGGCTCTGAACAGAATTAATTACAATTTTAACCAGTGTTAATCGCGCTCCTTCCTTGCTCGGCATCCCTACACATTACTGCATGTTTTCTCTGTGTGTTCTTCACTGCATGCTTACACATACATGCACCCATTTGAATTATATATAGTACATACTTTGTGAACAAGCGTTTCGGAGACAGCAGTTATAGTATAGCTACAAAGACAACTAATTGCACAGTAAGCATTTCCTATATGTCGACATGTATGTGTAAAATGTTATACCTGCTTAGCTTGCCCCCCCCCCCCACTGAATAGATGCAGTATACAGTCAACTTCGCTAATAACGACTGCGGGTATAACGACAATTCGCGAATAACGACATAGTTTTCATGCTTAGAGCAAAGTCCCATCCAACTGTGACACTTATATTGAGACTTCGGATATAACGACTCTTCGCGAATAAGGACACTTTTCTGATGCTCCGCCGCCGAGTGTCGTTATATCTTAAGTTGACTGTAATCACCTTTTTCGTTTCGCTCCTTTTCCCCTGAAAATTAAAAAAGAGGACCAAAAGTTTACAAGTTATTCGTTTTGTCCAACACTAACTAACGGTTATAAGCAGAATACTGTTGAGTCAAAAATGTGCAACAATTAGCACAAAACGGATAACTAAGTCTTGTAAATTTTTGGTCCTCTTTTTTTAATAATTTTAATCCTTGGCTCACCATCCGAGTTAAATCCTTTTCCCGTTCTTTCACTTTTATTTGTCCATATAAGATTAGTTTCAAGTAGTCCCCATTCCATTGTTACGTAGATTCACTGATGATTGTAACAAGAAAACAGTTCTGAACGAATCCTCGCTTTCCCTTTCGTTGTGTGCCTTGCGATAATCGTACAACATTTTACACATACATGTCGACATACATGTATATGAAATGCTTACTGTGCAATTAACTAATTGTCTTTGTAGCTATACTAAAATATACTTTGTGCTTTGGAATTATCGTGTTATGGTTCTTTTATTATTTCCTTCTCTCCTAAGGCCAGAACAAAAAATAGGCTTGTTTCCGGTCGGCAACCCCCCCCAAAAAGGAGACTCGGTCGGTTCGAGTCCTTCCAGCTCCATTATTCTAGCTCGTATCGACCTCGGAGGTTTTCGAGCCGACAGCTGTGGAAGGCATCTTCTTTTCTGAGCCGTTTCTGAGACTTGCCTCACCGACTATATAACCTAGGACTAGGGGGAAGTAGCAGAGTTCTACTGTCAAGTTTTTTATAAATTGTGGAGAACGAAGATTTGTATGCCTCCTATCAAATAGAAACGATTACGTTTGAAGTACACAGACGCTACAACGCTGGACATAAAATCAAGATCAGGCAACTCTTCTCAAAAATAACTGCCCAATTTTGACTCTGAATCTCATTACATGTATGCGCGCTTCCACTAGCTTGACAACTCCACAGTTCTCACTTTCCAAATAATTTCAAATTCTTACCTGCACATACGAATCCACTACGCCCTGCGCTCCTTGTCTTTGGGAAGATTGGACGGACACATCTCCTAAAGTAATCTGCAAAAAAAAACAGATGGATACACGCAAAACACGTTTTACTCAGCTACAAAATCTGGATACACACCAAATAACTTTTACAGAGCTACAAAATATTATTTTATGCTCTGGTGCATCGAGAATTTCAGGGCTCACAGTAGGCATGCAGGATCGACAAAAGCGTCGTGCGAGGGCGGGTTTGGTGCACGTGAGTCGCGTGACCCCGGGAGAGTACCGATCGTGTACATCCCACGCATCCAAAACAGAACAGAAAAGAGAAAGAACCAGAGTTGTACTCGTACTGTTCTCGTAGTTTTAGAGCCGATGTTCGCGATATTTTGGAGGAGAAGGCGAAACGCAACCTGTGCTAGTCCCAGTAAAAACAACATGCCATGTTCGACCAAAAGCTGATCCTACAACGAGCGATCGTGATGATTCCACAGGTAAGAAGACAAACAAACGAGTCAGAGCTCGCCAGGCAGGTAACGCCGAGAACATGATGATACCACACGGATCTGGTGATCGGATGGAGGTGAACGGGACCAGCAAATCCACCGGGCGTTTGTCGAGGGCCACTGAAGACCAGGTTTCCCAGGGTGCCAGTTCCTCCATGATGGCGAAATGCGCTGCCACAAGAACTCCAGCGAGAATGAAAGCACAGCAACCAACGCCGCGGGCAAACTGAGGAGAGAACACTGAACAATCTGTGCACAATGATTTTCTCTTCGACGGCACGCGTTGCTGTTCTGCTGCATGCATGCGTTTTTCTTGTTGTTTGATCTTCACACATTTTCGCGCAAGCGGTTGCGCGCCGCTGGGACTCGGGGTTACTAAAATCAGTACAGAGCATCTCCCCCTTGGTCGATTTGGACAATCTATGGCTCAAAATTTTCAGGAGACCCTGGCAAAGAAATTTACCGAGACGTTTTTGGATACTCCTTTCGAATGCTGTACTTTAACCCTTTGTGTACCAGCCCCATCTCGAACCGTAACGTACGTTACGGTTCGACGCACCGCACTGCGCCGCGCCGTTCGGCGGCGTCCTTGCTCCGATCGACTCGCGTTTTTTTGCGCTGGGCAGCTGAGATCCCACTGCAAATTTTGATGTATGATGTGGGTAGGTTGCCATTTGAAAGTATGGAGAACGATCGCGGCGAAAAGTGCGCTTTGCAATTTCAGCGCTCTGCGATATATTTTAGCAATTTCGATCGTGTTTTCGTTCGGTTACGCTGCTTGTATCTGGAATATAGCTTGCTCTAGCTGTTGTCGATGTCTACTAGTGATGGTGAACGCCAGGAGAGAGTTGTAGTAGCGATATAATCTCAGGATCTGAATCGAAAATGAGAATTTCCATCGCTGAAGCCATTGCCGTATTCGCTCTCCAAGCAGCAGCGAGAGGGAGCGCAGCGATGGCCTGAAATAATCAAGGCAGGTGAATTTCCCCACCCATCGACTATTCCTGGTCTTCTCAATCGCCAATACCCTCGCTGGACGCAAGTAGATAAGTGAAAAGTACATATTCAAATCTGACACAATTTCAAGAATTTGAAATTTTGATGCGATTGTTTGGCATCTGGTATTCACGCAATATGGCTCTTTTCCGTCCTTTCGCTATTGTTGAAGCATGCAACTGGCGGCTATACACTAGTGCAGTGGTCTCCTGTTGCTCTGTGTGAAGAGGGGCAATGTCAGCAAGTATATTCACGATTCCGAGTACACGGATCTAAATTGTCAGGAATATGGACAATTGACTCAGAAATAGGTATTCCAGGTATGGCCTGTATCTGTAGTTGTGTGCTCGGTCAAAATATGTTCTTACCTGGACACATTGATACCAACAGATTCAGAAAAACATAACTTGCATAGACAAAATGTGTCTTAGTTTTATGCTATAGGTCCATCATTACCGATGAGTACCCCGCGCATACATTAGATGCCTGGTACACAAAGGGTTAACTCACGAAGTTTACGCATATGCTCTGGCATACCCGTGTGAGCAATGAAAATTTGTTTCGGTAAATCTTTTGGAACACCTGTCATCTGTGCCTGGGCCAAGTCCCAGCTTCGTAGAACCTGGCTGAAGTGCTGCTAACTCCTTCAAACACCCCCTACTTCGAGCAAAAATCCGACGAAATGCTGACTGCTGATTGGCCAAGCTGGCATTTTGGAGCACGTGCACCGCCCCCATCTAATCGACGCTTTTCTACGCAACTGTGAGCCCTGAATTTATTTACCCGTGAGTTTTTCCCAAGTCGAGCATTGCAACAGTAGTAAGCCTCACTAGTTTGCTGGGTACAAAGCAACTAGAGCCAAGTAAGAACAAACACTAGTAGCGCACGAACAAATATTTTTTAGAACTAAATCAATTTACAAAATGTAATCAGTAACATCAACGGATGAGCAGGTTCACTTACCTGAACATCGTAAGATCTGTCCTTCGTACTAGCCTTCACCTTTGCGGAGATGTATCTAGTTGAGTGTCCCATCATACATGTACACAAAACTCTCTACACGGTCCGATGCGTAGGAGTTCTCTCCACGGCGAATTTGTTTGGCCTCAGAACCAAAGAAATCAACGATCGCCGCGATAGAAGTAACAGAGGCGCTGATCATGGCTTCCTGGCCACAGGCTAACACCGAAGGAGAGTATATCTTACTCGGCAGCAGAACTCTGAACTCTGGCTAACAACTAACAGCGAGAGAGAAGCGTCTTGAAGACGAAGAGAACAACATTCTCCTTACGAACTAAAACGAAACTAAGCTGTGCGCTCTCCAGTCAAAGTGATGCTTCTTGACTAATTCCCCCCCCCCCCCCTTTTCTGCACAACGCTGTCACTTGTCAGCACACACTGCCCAAAGCAACCACAGGTCTGAGGGTAAAATAGGTCTGAAAACAAAAAGGAAGAGGATAATAGTCGTAAGCCATGGAAGCAGTGACCTATCAGAGCATCCCTCGAACAGTTCTACGCCGAGGAAGAAAAGCACCTCTAAACTATGACTGTGGGCAGTCATACATGCAAATGAGAACAACAATGAGTCAGCGGCTAGCGGCAGCTACAGCATACTAATGCATTGGCAACCACTACACTGACCCAAGGTTTCGGAGAGACCTTCTAGAAAGAACCAAAGCGTCTCGTCATAACGTGTAAACACAGCTTCTAACACTAACAGCCACATAATGTGACATATACGCAACGTACATAATCATTGCTGCTGAGTCAAACACAGCTGGCAGGCACTGACAGTCTGTATACAGTGCCTGCCAGCTGTGTTTGACTCAGCAGCAATGTACTCTGCGTATATATATGTCACATTAGCCTAGGATTATCACCCTCATTATTATGATTATGCAATGTGTACTACACTCTACAGACGCAACTAATACTTGTAATCATAGTCCATCGGCCAAATCTCAGAAAGGGCCACTTTCGGCGAAGGTGATGCACTGAAGCTCCAACTAAACGCCCTTTGGCACACTAGCTCAGGAGACCCCATAGAATACGAATCCGTTTGTTGGACGTTGCCAATCCAGTCCAGGATAGTCGAACTGGGTCGAATACCTTCTTCCGATTTTCGTAATTTCGTCCACCATTACATCTTTCTCATCGACTTTTTTTCGCTTGGCGAATGTTCTTGAGCCGCTGAGCAGAATCTACGCACGCTCGAACACTTGAAATGCATGCATGTTGACGGTTCGCAAGATTCTAGCGAGATTGGTGGAAATCTATTATATATTTTGACATTTTTTGGGGAATCAGTTATCTGAAGTAGAACGGAAGAAGCTCATTCGGAGAAGACGGCGTGTCGCCGCTGTCGGATTGTCGCTGCTGTGTTTCAGACGTATTTGCTTGAACGTGCTATTGAGGATGGACAGAAGATGAAGTGACGGCTTTCTTGAACACGGACGTTTTGTCTACATTGTAGCTGAAACATATCATCTGGCGTCTAGAACGCAATTATTATGAGTTGTGAGTGCCAGCTGAGCTGAACACAAGCTGGACACCATTCGTCAGCTGGGAATTTGCATCGAAGCTCTTGATAGCCACGATAAGCATAATTATACAGAGGTAACCTTGTTTGACTCAATACGCATGCAGGTGATACCACTAGTGGCACTACAATGTAAATGGTGCAAAATTGATGCAACAGCGAATAATAGTACTTCGTACAATCACGAACAATTGTAAGGCAAGTGTTCATGCCTGTCATAGAAGAATTTCAGCCCGGAAGTCTTGTTGTCATGGTCATAAATAAAGTAGGACTTGAGTTGGCTCTGGACATAAACACACTTGTGGTGAATACGGTCATTATTGCGAGAAAAATATTTAGCCATTGTATGTTAACACCTGATGCCGCACTACAAGCAATATTTCATGTACATGTATGTGAGACTCAATTGCATCCACAAGGCCGTAGATGCATGTAAGCACACAATGCTGTACAGTATAAGTAGTAGTCGCAAATGTGGTGCCTTCCTGCTGCACATGCACATGCGGCAAGTTGGCAACGACACATGACCTATCTGCACCGCACAGCGTGAGCTTAGAAAGGAACATTGCACACATAGTGCTATTTGTGTTCCGATATCATTAAGCCGGTATACATGTACTAGTATCCTTATACATGTACCTGGTCACTCGATAGGCGATTCCGACTGTACTAATCTTATCCATATTACCCGATAGGCTATAGCACACTGCGTCAGATCACTATGCAACAAAACAAGAGCTTTGGAGCGAATATACACTGAAGCAAAGTAGGTTTCAACGGTACAGCACTAGTCACGATGAGGGGAGTTACGAGGATGGTCATTGGTTAGGCCGTGACACATAGATGATGATTGTCAATGATTCATGCATGGTGGAAAATTACCACCAATGGCGATGATATTGCTTTCACAACAATGACATCAGTAGGAGCAGTGACACAACCTTACTGCTCCAAGTAGGATTTACAAGCGAGTGAAGGGAGAGCAGACTGGTCTAATAGCAGACCGGGTCTAAGCAAGGAAGTAATCGGCATCAGAGGTGAGCTTGCACATCAGAAAACAGATGATGATCACCAAACACAGAGAAGTTGGCTATGTGTATGTTTGTGTCACTGTGTGTGCATGTGTGTGTGTGTGTGTTGGTGTGTATGCGTGCATATCTGTGTGTGAGAGAGAGGCAGACAGACAGATAGCATATGGTGGGAGGGATCAAGGTCTGACCTCAGAATTAAATGCTGACGGTGTGGAATAGCAACAGTGCGAAATCGGGCAGGGTGGTTAATGGCCCACACTGGAGCCGAGTAGGAGCGCCAGTGGTTGAGGGCGAGCACAGGAGTAGCAGCAGCTCCAGCCTAGGAAGATCAGCTTCTGGATGAAAATCTCCCGGACACAGTAGGTACCAAGCTTCACTAGCAGATTGCCGGCAGGGGTGCACGGCGAGCACCCGTACATCCCTCAAGCCACCAGAGCCGCAGTACTTGGACACGATCCAGGTGCTTACCCGCCAACAATGCTGAGAAGGCACTGGAGCCATACAGGAACTTATGATCGAGCATGACCACAGACTTGAAATACAGGGTCCGGCGTTGAATACCGAGACAGCGACGTCTCCTCCACAGAACACCACTCAGCCCCACCATTGCATTATTTTCGCTTTTTCATGATTTTTACAATTGTGTTAGAGCACACAGCACTCGATGCAACATTTACCAGTGACTAAACAACTCCGCGTCTCCGACCATAACTGCAGCGTTCCCGTGAGCCTGTTGGATTTCCGTCAGCCTGTTGAGATTATCTTCATCTCGTCACATGCGAGCCTGTGTGTTTCATCCGTATCGTGGCACAATTACACAGACACGATTTCCAACTCAGGCCGCTTCCGTTGCTCCAAGGGCTGGCGGTAAGAATTGCTACGCCGTCTGTGGCTGCATGGGAACTTGGCGAGTCGTCGTCTTTCTCCATAAATCCTGATCGTCACGGGAACAACAGCCACTATTGCCTAAAAACTACGACACAACAGTATCAAGCTCGCCCCAGCAGAAGGACACGAATGACGAGCGCTAAGACGGAGAAAGAGAGACAGGGTTAGCGAGAGCTGACTAGTGCAGGTACGCTGTCATCTCCTGAGGTGGTGGGCGAAGCAGCGAAGTGAAACGAAGGAAGATAGAACTTATTAGAAGGCATACGGAGCCACCAAAACCTATTGCCTGTCACATACTAAGTGCCATTTAGGGTTGACAGCTGTCAGCTGACAGCCTCAAAAATTTGAAAATCTGCTCAAAAAACTCTCGATCAGAACTCTGCGCACTCTCAAATGGAGCGCACAGTAAAAAACTCGGCGACGAAGAACGCTTCGTATCGATGCCCTGGACTGAATTCGGCACGTCCAACAAACGGAATAGTGTTCTCTGATATATTCTCTACGTGCTGGGTATGGTCGCGTTTAGTTGGAAGCTCAGTGCATCACCACTTTCGATTTTGAGACTTGGCCGATGGACTATCATCCAAACCACAGAATACACTAAAACTAGCACTGATGGCATGACGTGACCTGCAGGTACTGCATGCAGTACAGAGTACATGTACAGTGCTAATACTGGAAGCAATAGCCACAAGAGGAAGTACAGTCACGCCACAACATGCTGTGACCATGGTGACCACCATGTACCAGTGGAAACACGACAAGCGTGGGTGACGCGACTTTTGTTTGTCACCGTTTGCTCGTTGCTACGCGTACGCGTTGTCAAGAAATCGTGACGTCATCACTTCGGATAGATCTAGGCTTAGGCCTGCCGGCACTCCCGGTCCGGCAGCCCCATATAATGCGTCAACGACATTGACGCACTCGACATGCATACAAAACTATGCCTGGCATGACGGGAAGCATCAGCCCACGGGGATTCCCCATGGCCCTAAAGCCTAGTTCACATTCGACGCAACGCCGACGGTACGGGGCGTAAAGCACTAAGGCCCGTAAGGGCTTGTCGGGAGGGCTGGGGTGACGACTGCTGCATGTCGTGTCGTACAGGATTTTACAGCGCGCAGTGTTCGAAATGCTAAAAATGTCCAAGTACGAATCGGGAGTAGTCGGCGCACGACGCCGTCTCCTGTTCACACTCGAATTGCAGCCGTTTTGTACGCTTGCGTCCCCGTCTACGCCCGTCTACGGTATGAAAAGTTGGATCGATCCAACTCTTCCCGTCGCTTCCCGATCTGTACGGTAGTACGGTTGTGTTCCCGTTCCTGGTGTTCACATAATCATTGGACGCCGTCAGACCGTCCCGTCGCTTCCCGTCGATCCTTATGTCGCGTCCCGTCGCGCCCCGTCGAATGTGAACTAGGCTTCACACAGCCAAGGTATGTAATGATCCTATCGCTAGCATAGCTGTTAAAGAGATCCACGTAGATCTACGTAACTAATAAACGCGTGTCCCATTCTGCATTCATTGGCATTATTTTGATTTGAGAACTGCGCGATCGAAAACTGACGGAAATACACGCGCGCCGACAATGCCGTCCGCCTCCGTCAGAACATCGTCAGGTGCATTTTTCTCTTGCGCAGTGAGTTCCTTTCGTCCTCGGATGACTTCTCCGACGAGGACCTACAGTCCATTCATCGGAAACTGGCCCGCTGGCTTTTGAAAGTCTGATTTGAGCCGAATTGAGGTTCAAAAACCCACTTTAAATCTCAAAAATCTGGGTTTTGGATCTGCTTCTCCATACATTTTGCCATGGCATACCTGTCCCAATTTTGTAAAACCTGGCCGAATTTCTATTTCCCTGTTCTTGGACTTTTCTGGCCTCAAATGTG